ATTAGTTGATTCCACACAAACATAGACTGCATCACTTTTTCAAGGTCTAAGTAGTATCCGTTTAATGCTCTGCCAGGTGCACACCAGTTGGTTTAACGAATTACTGGAGCATCTGTTTTTTTTTTGGGGGGGGGGGGAGAATAACTGGAGCCATCATGAAGTGTTGGGACAAAGGAAAATCGAAAGCACTTGCACAGTTGTATTTACCCTGTGGGTGATTTCATAGAGGAAAAGGGGGGGTTCCTTCCAAAAGTGCCTAATTTATTTGAATTCTAGATGAATGAAACTGAAGCACTGAATGCATGGGTGGTTATTACTCATCTGAAACTGAAGGTACAAGCTCATATCTATAGCACATAGGCTGCAAATGATTCAAGTCTACTGGTATTGTTTATAACTATCACGCAAAGCAATACAGCACCAATTGTCATACAGACTAGGATTGAAGACAAATATAATGTAAATAGCGTATGTGCTGGATTTTCAGTTTGCTTCTGTGAAATAATAAGGCTCGTTCAATTCTGACATGGTTTGACCCGCCGAAGGGTTAGACAAAAAGTTGTTTAATTTCAACAAAAATAAAATTGACTTGAGTGAGATTCAGAGAAATAAACTTTTGTGCTTTCTCCCTACTCAGGCTTTGGAAAAAGTATATGCGCTTTGTTCCCTGTGCTCGATGCAGCATAAGCGTCAACTTTTATTCTTCTTTTGCTCCCTTTATGAAAAAGGCCTCAGGGTGGTGCAATGGTGGGGACTAGGTTTTCTATCGCCAACTATGTAAGCAATGAGTGGGGCTGGCTGTTCAAGAACCACAAAAGAACGAAAAGAGGACAAAAGTATTTTTACTTTTTGCCTTTATTTTTACTACTGCACCGAGTTGTACACTCTCAAACATGAAAGACTCACAATGAATGGAAGTTGGTTTAATAAAGTTGTGATTAGCCCACTGAATATGCAGATATGATAAACTAGTAATGGTTGAATTATGAAAGCACTTGACATAAACTATAGTTGGAACTGGGGACTACGGAGGAATAGTTTTAGTCAATTCGCAGAACTCGATGCAGAGGAATCAATCCACCATCGTTCATGATTATGAGCCATTCCTGGCCGAGTGGGAGCTGCGCTGCTCACATAGCTCCAAACAAAACGGCATTTTGCATTTTTCTGCTTTTAGAATAAAGGGAGTGTCCATCATGCTTGCTGGTTGGTGGCGCAGGGTCAGTGATTCGATTCCAGCACAATCACTCCTACTTTGGACTTCGGACTCCATTTTCCATTTATGTGTCTCTTTACCTCGGACTCGGGTATCCATCAGACAAAGCCTAATCATGTTTATGGTATATGGATGGAACGGAACCACAGAACCGAAGGCACAAAACGGTTTTGGATTAATTAAGTATATATATTGTGCTCCATGCACGCAGCGTGTACCAAAGCTATAAGATGTGAACCCTAATTAACCTTAAATGAATCGTCCACCCATCAGTTCTCATGTTCTCCCAATTCTTTAACAGAAATATTACTTCCGGTTCTTAACATAAAAGTTCATTTGACTTTTATTTTGGTCTTAAATATAAAACACCGATGTACTTTGTCTCATATATATTCATTTTTTTTAAAATAGTCCTTCTAATAATAGTAATTCTAACGAATAAGATACTTGATTAGCAAGGATACTTTAGAAAAAACAACATATATTTATTACAAATAAATAGCTTAACAAATTTTCTTAATCTATTCAAATTAGTCAATTAGCTCTTATATTAAGAATTAGAGATAGTATTAAGTATAATCATCACAGTCATATATTCCTATACATGCAAATCCTCATTACAAGCATTTTTGGAATTTGTTAGTTACTAGTACTATCTTATATCCTTAATATAAGAGTTAGTTTGACTTTTATTTTGGTCATGAATATAAAATCTCGATCCGCTTTATCTCTCACATTTATCTATTTTCCTCCAATGTAGCTTTTATAGTGATAATTCTTGCTAATATATACTTATTTAGTAAAAATATTTTCAAAAAGATAATACCTATTTATTACAAATAACTAACTTAACTAATTTTTTTAATTTATTTAAATTAAATAATTAGTTCTTATATTAGGAATTGAAGGTAATATTTACTGTCCAATGGCGCCCGGTCTGCTGGCTAATATATGGTGAGGCGAGGGCCCGAGGTAATATGATTTTACTTAGTTCTTAATTATCTGCTTGATTGGCTTTGGAAGAACCAAAAAAAGACCGAAATCATCAGAGCACGCGTAAAAAGTTCGGTGTAAATTTACCGAGCATTATTGTCAAATGCCGCTGACGGAGGCAAGGTGGGAATAATTTGGGGTTAGAAGAGGGGTTTTTTCTTTAGAAAAAAAATATTCTTTATCAATTTCTTTTCAAAATATCTATTATCAATCATTTTTTCAAAAAATAATTTTACAATGAGAGAACGGACAAATAATAATAAATCATGTATATTTTTTTTTTAACGAAACATCAGGGTATCCGCCAGCGGACCCAGTGACTAATCTCTTTACTGGTTTGTAGACACTTTGATAGGTGGTATAGCTGGCTCGAGGTTTTAAAACTTTTCCATACCCAATGTGAGAATCGAACCTTCGACACTTGGTTAAGGGAGGATGAGCTCCCACTGCTCAACCATACCCCGGGTTAATAAATCATGTATACTGAAAAAAGACAAAATTATTCAAAAAAACTCGGGATGCTTTGGATCTTATATATTATTGCATCCCTTCATTCTGTCAATTATGCAGGTCTTGACAATGAATCTAACAAATCAGGACTAACAATAGCACGTGGCGCGCGCGAATTAAACCAGAGTATAGACGGTTCAAGGAAGTTCCGATTAAAGAATCCCACATTAAGTGGCTGTGATATAGTCTCAAAATCGTGAGCTCCACTTCATCAACCCATCGCTGTGCCTGTGAATATTTTACTTCTTCCTCGAGTCTGAGGCATTTATACAGCTGACCTCTAGATATAGATATTATCCATTCAATTAACAAGAAACGTAGGGTGAAAAACCGTATTCCCCAGCGCTTACTTAGCCAATGATTTTCTGTCCCCTGCAATTAGCCATTTTAGTTCTAGGCACAAACCTTTTAGCAAGTGACTTGCAAAACCTCTTCTTTCTGCTGACCAAGAAAGTCTTTGATTCAGGTGTCAGATAATAGAATAAACCCAAGAGAAATTATTTGTGAAAACAGATCAGGAATATACTCCGTTGTCATAACTGATTTATTGAGCAGGATAAATATGTCACCAAGAACGTAGTAGCTGCACAGAACTAAGATTCAACCTCTACTCTAGAAGCAATAAGCTATATACATACTATACACATGACTCTCGCCCCCCTTAAAAGTAAATAACAAATAGATGTTTGGGGCGAACTTATGTCGCATTGTGAGATAAGCCACTCAAATTCTAAACGACCTTCAAAATTCTTTTCATGCAATATTGCAGCAAGAAGCGACTCGCAATTGGAATTACTACGTATATGACAGATCAGATCATGCTGTAATAAACAGGGGGCTACGGAGATGGACCCAAAACTGCTGTCGTTAGATCATGCTCCCCAAGATCAAAGCTTGCACATCCTCACAGTTGAAACCTCGCAGCTGCTGGCTTGAGCACCTCCGACATGCCGTAGATGACGACGCCCGGACGTGATCTCCAGTATGAGAGAGTTCGAACGAACTGGGGCTTGCGAAATTGCAGGAGTTAGGATGAGAAAACGCGCGGGCGAGTGAAATTGCATTTGCCCTTGAGGCTCTGACGTGTGAAATTAGCCTTTGATAACAAAAAATACGCTTAATCCATCAATCTTGGGCCGCAACTGGCCCAATCTTTAACGCCCAATCCCTCACTCGTGGGGAAAATGCGATATGTAAATATAATAGCTATAAATGCTGGGACCAGCAGGAGTTTGACGTAATAAACGAGGTTAGTACATCATAACCTGGCAAGGCTGCTAGGTCAAACTCAGGCCGATGTTGAATGATTTTTTTTGTCAGAATTTATTTTAAAATCTATTATTTTAAGGGAGTGTTTGGAAACTATAAGATGCATTCAGGGGGTGTTTGGATAGAAATCAAATCATGGTTTCAGAAGTGTTTTTACGGATTACGAAGTAAATATGTGGATGAAGTTACCTCGTTTTACGGAAAAGTGATTCTGAAACCTAGGTTTTGGTTTTGCCAAACACCCCCTTAAAAAAAAAGTGCTTTCACTTAAAAATAGAATTCCTCTTACTTTTAAAAAACTAATTCAAACTCTCTTTAAATTACCTTTTTTTCTCTCCAAAATCTAATCCAAAAAAGTAATCCAGTAAGTTCCGGGAATGGGCTCCTCGCACTTTTCTCTACATCAAACCCCATCACATTAGGACTGATTAAAAATGAACAGAATTATTGGAGGCAATGATAGCAAGAGCGCAAACACGGCAGAAAGAAGCCAACCAAAGCCACAAATCGAGGCATAGCCTTCTCTGGGGGCGACTGGTTGAGGGTTTTCTTGATCGGCCTCATGTTGAGATTGAGAACCTGAAAATTAAGAATATTAAATATATTTGCAGTTCCGGTACATTTCGTCTAGCTCTTAGATATGATTTGTTCCTTTCTATTTGGAGATGAGACTCCTTTCTCTTCCCAATGCGTCTGTTAGTCTCGTCAGGGTAAGCATTTCCGTTCATTATAACGCACAGCCACAAATTTTTCGTTTTCTCTGCTTTTTTGGTCCTCTTCATTCTAAATCAATATAAGTCAATAAACTGGTGTGTTTAGTTATATAAAAATAGCACATATAATTGAAACGACATGAAATGCTCATCCGCAAAATATGGGACATCATCTGCAGCAGAAAAGGCCAGGAGAGACTAGCTAGGTCAACCGGAACAATAAACAGAAACAAACACAAAGATCCCACTCGGACGTCAAATATGCGTTTATTTACATATTCCAATTAATTAATGTGTGCCTAAGGCATAAACCTCATAGAGTAGAAGGGGAGGGAGGTTTGCATGAAAGGAGAAGCATAATAGAGAGTGGGATCCCTGTCGACGTCGAAGTGCAACCAGGGAGGGTATTCAAGTTCTTTGTCGTGATCATGCACGAACTCCGGAATCTTCATCTCCCCCCTTCTCACGTGCTCCCACAGCAACTCCACTCTATCCACATACTTCAGTTTTCAGTACAACCTGTTATTCGCCCACTCAGTTAGTAGCGCGCGCACACACACACATATATATGATGTATTCGCAGGAGAAGCTGGAGAGGGCATTGGGAACATATACAGCCGGCGCTTAAAAGGAACCGGCCGAACGCAGCGAAGAAGAACCTGGCGGGGAGATCAGGGTGCAGGAAATAAAGGGCCTGCAAATTGAGTTTGATGCGGAGCGGGATGGCATCGCACACGGATTTGAGAGGCCACACTCCAAGCAAGTTGTGGCCTCTTTGAACTCCAGTGTGTATGTACAGCACCGACCATGCTCTCTCTCCTACCTCTGGGAATACATTCTCCTCCAAATACTTGTTCACTCCCTCCCTGCTCACCAACCCCCCTGCAATTGGTTTGTTAATTACTAGCAAGTTTATTGATTCAACAGCAGTAGTCAACGAATGAATGGATGGAAGCGGAATATATATAAATACAAGTACCGGCGCGGGGAAGAGTTTGCCCACTACAGTGAGAACAGGGTGACCTCGGCTGTCGTGGCCTTGAAATTGAACAGCGTCAAGTTTATGGAGCAGCTTCACTTGGTCCAACACTGAGACCATTGGCATCGAAGGAGAGTTGCGCATGGTAACAGACGAGAGTGGCTGTGTTATTTATTTTCGAACTCGTCCGATGGAGTGTGCACCGGAGAGCATTGGGTGCTCATCAGTTTTGATGAACACCAAGTGCTCATCAGATCTGGACCGTCCAGATCAGATCTGGACCGTCCAGATCAGATCTGGACGGTCCAGATTTAATTTTATTTTTATTTTAATTTTTTTAAAAATAATTATTTTAATAGGTATAAGATAAAAAATAAAGATAATCTCCTAACTATCATTCTGTAAAAATATATATTTTTTATTTTAAAATAATTATTTTAAAACATTAAATCTGGACGGCCCGAATGGCTCATCAGGTGATAAGCACGGTATACGGACCCGTGCCGGTGTGCACAGCACAGGGCATCTATTTATGGTACTTTTTTTGGGGCTTGGCGAGGCTGACACGGTTTGACTCGAGAGGCAATGAAAAGCATGTGAGGAATTTGAGCCGGGAGGAGTTAAAATTTTGCCTCCCCTCCCCCTCCGTTTCTATTTTGATCAGGCAAGAAAATTTTATTAAATTTTTATTTATCTTTTCCCCTCCCGGCCAACTCAGAGACTAGCAAGGACGCTTTGGAAGAAGGGACAAAATACCCGGACTTGGATGGAGGCAAGGTTCTTTTTGTTTCCATGGGAAATATGTAATCGATCATATGCTTTTTATTTTTTCCTACAAACTGTGCGCGTGTATTATTAACTACGTACGATTGATATGGTTTAATTTGAGATAATTTTCGACCAAATTTTCACACCTATTATTTCATCGGTACTTATTCTGAAATAATCTTGTATTCATCAGCATTATTCTTCCTCTCATGTATGTTCCTCATGTACTGAATTGAGAAGTGCGCTCAATTGCATCTTCTCACCTAGGGCTAGTAAAACGGGCCAACCCGCAACGGGTTGTGGGTTATTTGGGTCGGATTTAAAAGGTTTGTTTTTTGGCAGGTTGGTATTCTGTCAACCCAACCCACCAAGGTGGTTTGGCGGGTCAACCCATAAACCCGCCAGATTTTTTTTTTAGAAAAAAAATTCTTATAAATAATCAAAAATTAAAAAAATAAAAAATGATTTAAAATATTTCAAGCATTCATACAAAATTACAACACATTAAAACACAAAATATACAATTGTTCAAAGTTCAAACTCCAAACATGATAAAACACAAGTTCAAATATAAATTTTTCCTACCTTTCCAGCCCATCTCCTAATATTTTAATATATATAAAAATTTAAAAAAATTTGGCGGGTTGGCGGGTTCAGCCCACCAACCCGCGAGCTGACCCATGGCGGGCTCGGGTTGTGACGGTGCGGGCTTATATTTTTCAGGTGGTGGCAAGTTGACCAAAGGCCAACCCTAACCCGTCTCTTTTGGCAGGTTGGCGGGTTCAACCTGCGGGTCCAACCCATATTACCGGCTCTATTAATCTCACCCCTTGCTATCTTATCTTTCGTGTTTTTTTCCCCCTTTGCCAGTAGTTTTATTTATTTCCCGGTTACTCTGCCGTATACTTTTTGATTTTCAATCCCCCAGGAACGGTCAGATCTTAAAAGTTCTCATTTTTTGCCGGCACCTTCTCTTTATCGTGACAGTATTTATTTGTTTTAGATATGTCCTTTTTATTTAGTTCAAGATCGCTCTAAATGATCAAATCATGTGCATTATAGTTAACACATATATGTTTATATACTCCACGGACTGTATTCACTAGATAATGTACACGAAAGAAACAGCAAAACACCATCTATATATCTATATATAATTAATTGTTGGACCGTATCTTCAATTTCTAGCAATAATATACTACGAAGAAACTCCAAGCAAATTAACAAAAAAAGAGTTAGCATTGCCTTGAAGAACTAAGGTGACTGTCGAGTTGAGGTTGTCCGGAGTGTTGATATTAAGACGTGGATATGCTTGTGGATGGGTTAGATAAATAATGATACCGATGGGAGGGGTGAAGGATAAAAGGAGAATAAAATCGTGTTGCTTAGAATGGATATACGGTAACGGAAGCTCTGGTGTAGGAGCTGGATCATTCCGAAAGCATAGCTTGTTTTGTGCTGGGTAAAAGGGGATGGAAAGCTGAGTGTGGCAGAACAATGAGACGCATTGCGTTGCGTGGATCCAAAGAGAAAGCGAAGTTGGGTGTCTTTGAGCACCGTACATTAATTTATGCTGGACTTAGTGGCCAGCTAGTCGACACTCCCGGGGAATGGGAAGCCAGCGACTTGAATGGCTCCTTCGCTTCCCCCAGGCCCGCCTTATCCCTTCTCTCATCCTCTTGAATCGGCACAACTATTATCTCTCTCGCATTCCCTGCTTTCAACTTCTCTCTTCATCTTCTCTCCTGTCAGCAAAGATATTTGTGGATTGTCTGAGTGATGCCACGTGGATCTCTATCCTTTCAACTAAATTTCACTGTCGTCATGTCATGCTCTTGTTTTGAAGTTAATCTTTCAATCCTAATAAATTTTCTGCTGTAAAATTTTCATACCAACATGTACCCCTGCTCCCTTCTTGTACAACTTTTTTGTTGGTACACTTAGAGAGTGTTTGGATAAGAATAAAACTATAGTTTCAGAAGTATTTTTTTTAATATACGAAGTAAATATGTAGAGGAATTTATTTCGATTTATAAAAAAGTACTTCTAAACAGTGATTATGAGGTTATCCAAACACCCCTTTAGTCAGCTCTCCAATGAAAGTTGTAATTTGTACGCGTGAGGAGAAATCTATAAAATCTTCTCGTTAGAGGCAGAGGACCGGCCAGTGGGTTTTCTCTTTATCCGGACTTTTGATTTAAGATCCATTATAAAGCTGGGCCTCACGAGCATGAATGGTGATCTGAATGTGGGCCCAAAGCGCCATAAGTCCAGGATCTTAGCTCCGTAGGCTTACGCTAAGTCCGAACCGGCCGAAAGGAGACAATTGCCAGGTCAGCAATGTCAGACCACCCAGTCCAGGTTATACATGAACGGCCGAAACATTTTTCGATGGATAGACGTGGCCCACAAACACGAGAATCGTTACTCGAGCTCTGCAGGGACCCACTTACCAATGTTCTCCAAGGCTTCTCTGTTTTTCATTACTCAAAAGAAATCATATTACATCGCCATCGATGTTTAATAACTAATATATTGAGAGAGAAAAATAATGTACGGATCACAGTATTAGTGATTAATTAAAAAAATAAACATAACGTAAGGCTAGAAGGTGGTGTTGGACTTGGGAGGGATAGGATTTGGTGCTGGAGAGTGATGGAAGCTAGAAATGGGAGTACAAATAGGGATAGGGTTGCCTTTGAGGTACGCTAAGATACGGTTGAGAGAATCAACCCAAGTGCATGTCAACGTTTGGACGCTGGGCATTGAGAGGAGGGAGCAGGGAGGTGTCAGAAGAGAAGAAAGCAGATGGAGAGAGAAGAGGGAGGCGTGTAATTATGAACATAGCCTGCAATCAAATTAATAAGACTCGGGACTTTTTGCCAGAAAATGCCAATTCTGCGTAACCGTTAACCCCACGCGGCAAACCATTTCATGCCCTCCTTTAATTCCTGCTCCTCCCCCTCACTTGCCTTTCCTTAATTGCCATCTCTTCTCGGTATTATCATCCCTTCTTACACTCTTCTCTTCACATTTGCTTTTCTGAATTTCTCTTCCTCTGCTCCTTCCCCACCTTTCTTTATTATTATTTATTACTATTCATTTTCATTAGGCCTGTGCTTGGCGTTTCGCCGGATATGTCGCCGGTGGAGACCAGCAAGGGATGGAGTGGGGAGGAAGGCAAGCATTACCCTTCCCCACTCGCGACGCACGAGGATGTGGTCAAGGACCCCACCCTATTCTGGGACACTCTCAGGCGTTTCCACTTCCTCATGGGTACCAAGTTCATGTAAGCTCTTTTCCTTCTTTTCTTTTGGATTTGTCGCATTACTAGATTAGAACCCAACTCAGAATGCGATTTTTAATCCCATGGTTCGCCTCTTTCCCCCATATCATTTTAACGCGAATACTGAAACATATAGTTAAGTAAGTAAACTCCACATTTCTGTTGGTGGTGCTGAATCTTTTTGGCCACATCTTTGTCCCAAGGATTCCTGTGATTGGAGGGAAGGAACTGGATTTGCACGTTCTTTACGTGGAGGTTACGAGGAGGAGTGGCTATGAAAAGGTGGGCTCCCCATAATCCATCCACCGCCAGATATATTATTTCTCCTTTTTTTTTTGGGGGTAAATATTGAAATGAAAATGATGAAAACATGTTTGAGTAACTCCCAACCGGGAGGGATTTCAAAGTGCAGGTGGTGGCAGAGAAGAAATGGAGAGAAGTGGGGAATGTGTTCAGGTTCTCTCCCACCACAACGAGTGCTTCTTTCGTACTCAGGAAACACTACTCGACTCTTCTTTACCATTACGAACAAGTCCACTTCTTTAAGGCTCGGGGTCCTCTGTACACTCCATCTGCTGGTAGTTCACTGTCTGTTCCTCATTTTTGTTCTTTTTCTTCTTCTTTGGGTATCGATGTTCGTGTTGGGTTTTCCATCCTTCCCATACCAGTACCGGATGATCAGGATCCTGCTTCTGCTTGCTTCTACTATTATTTTCATTTCATTGGCTCACGAATCGCACATGTATGAACCCGAGCTTACTGTCCTGCAGCTGCATTTTCTGTCAGCAACCAGTCATGGAGACCTGAATTAGCTATTGTGGAATACTCACCCCAGCGGATAAACGAGTGTCCTGAATCCCACAGCGAAGGTATGTGACCTACTGGATAATTAACCTGCTTCGTAATGCTTTCGCGGGTTCCGAGCTGTGCTAAAATAATGAACTTGGTACACATATATATACATATGGTCATGTAGTATGTACATTGGATGTGCTGCATGCGGGAACCTGATTTTTTCTGGAGATGGGAGCAGAGTCCAAACTCTAGCCACCATCAAGCTTGATAGGTAAATGATTAATGAGGTAAGTAATTGGAGCAATGATTGTTTGGGTGCAGATAATTCGGGCAGCGAAGTGAAGGGAATGATAGAGGGGAAATTCGACTGTGGGTATTTGGTGTCAGTGAAAGTGGGGACAGAGGTGCTGAGAGGGGTGCTTTACCACCCAGAGCAATCGGAAACCTGCGCATCGGCTTCGCAGAATAGGAATGCGATGGTGGCCTACAATGGAAAAGGCGGAGGCGTGGGCAGGAGGAGGAGGAACAGAAGGAGGTGGGACCCAAACTACCCGAAGCCCAACAGAAGCGGCTATAACTTCTTTTTTGCAGAGAAGCATTACAAGCTCAAAGCGCAGTATCCCAACAGAGAGAGGGAGTTCACCAAGATGATCGGCCAGTCGTGGAGCAGTCTGAGCGCGGAGGAGAGAATGGTAACAAAGTCGTTGCTTGAGCTCTGTTTTTCTGTTTTGGTTGCAGAAGCGTAACGAGTTGGTGACTGATGCGGTGCGCAGGTATACCAGAACATTGGGTTGAGAGACAAGGAAAGGTACAAGAGAGAATTGAGGGAGTACAAGGAGAAAATGAAGGTCGCTCCCGCCGCGGAGCTTTCCGGTGTTTAATTTCAGACTTGGCAGGCATGGAAGCTGCAGTATTATTAGCGCATTGCCATCATATTGAATGAATATTGTGGTTCGCTAATACTGGCTCCCGTGGACTGCTCCCCCTTATGCCTTACCATGCAATTTCTTTTTTTCATTCACTCCCAATGCTCTGAGGATTCACTTTTGTTGCCGAATCTTGATTGATCAAATCAAAATTCAGTGATTTAGATTTCATGACACCCTATGTTTTTTGACTTTTGAGAGATGCGAAATCTAAAATCAAAATAGTTAAAGAGTGAGTAGTCACTTAGAAATTTTCTTTAAAAAAATTGAATTTAAAGTACTTAAATCTAGTTTGGATCGGTAACCCAAAAAAAGGGTCAATTTTTATGCGGATGAGAGCCTAGGCTGGTTATTCCTGGTCCTAGGAGCGCATATTGAAATATTTTAGTCCTATGCACAATGTAAACAACTGGAAATGTTGTAAAGGATCATGAAATCAAGACGCCAAAACTCGGAATTTTGATCTCATAGTCATGCACATATCAGGATCGATGCTACTCAAAACCATCGGTACCTTAGTTTTTGATATCTGATAGTGTGTTCTTTTGGGGCCCGAAACATCAGAAAGGGGCCTCAAATGCCACCACTTGATGGGTCATAAATAATACAAGAAGTAAAAATTCAATTTGATTGTATAAAGTCTCACAAAAAAAAAAATAGTGATAAGTTTTAGTTATAGGTCAATTTCCCCGTCATCTCGTGATATTTTTACATTAGGTCAATTCTTTCATCTCGTGAGACATTTCTATCTATTAATGGCGGGCATATTGCAAATCGTGAAAAATCTAGTTGAGAATTTGAAAAGATACTGAATCTTTTAGAAGCCTGAGATGGAATTCTTATTAGTTAGCAATTTCGTTTTGGTTGAAAAAAAACGATTTTGTATTTACTCTTCAGGTTTAAAAATATCAAAGGCCTTATTGAAAAAAATAATGCATGCACACACAGATTGAAAATGCGAAAAAAATCTGAAGAGAAAAATCTGATGGGCTTGGAACTCCCTCGCAGCTTGGGCAAGACAAGATGAAGGACTGTAGGGCCTTGTGGAATGTCCAAGCCTCTTGGAGATTGATTTGTGGGCACGTGAACTTCATTATGCAATGGGACATGAAAGCAAGGTGATGGAGGAAGAGTGACAAATTAACGTAGTTGGTGGAGTATTTACTGGGTGAGTGAGGAGTTATGGTACCCACCAGATAATTCAGATGACGCTGGGGTACATGGCATTGTGATTTTGCTGCCATCTCAACAGCAGATTTGAAGGCTTACCTGGCACTAAGTGAGTTCTGGTTTTATAATCACGTGATTTTGTGTTGTTATATATACTGGCTAAGAAAATATATTATGGTACATCATGCGCTGACCAGCAGATAGATCATGTGTTCATGGAATCGTGGTTGACAGAGACAAGAGCGGCAACTCTCAAAAACATTGATGTTCAATGAATGTGATACTGTCTCGCAACTCAAAACAATATAATGGGCTTCCTTATCAGTCTCTTTTGTATTAACATATTAATAGCATCAGCCTCATCAGCCTGCAGTCTGCAGAAGGAAGCGATCGGAAATGCTTTGTTGCATCGCGAAACATGCGTCCGCAATCACCACTCTCTTTGGACAATGGATAAGAATATCAGCAATGCATTAAAATAATTCCATTATAAGGTCATTTATTAGTCACCCCAGCAAACCAGAATGTGTATGACGGCCCCGGCAAATGGGATAGTGATGCCGTCATTTCAGAATAAATTAATTAATTGGAGGCAGCATTAAGGTATCTTCTGACTCCTCCATCACAAGCAAGCAATAATTGCTCTCCCAAACCTATATTCAATTTCTAATAAGCTGATGCCTCTATCCTATTTTTAATTATATTTGCATCTAATTGATAAAGATATGTTTGTTACCTATAATCACTGAAGAAAAGTCACACCTACTAAAAACATATTCCACTGGTTCAAAGAACAAAGTATTTTAAGAGGCTTGGAGCAATAAATTTTATAATGAATGGTTTTTCAACCATTTTATTCTATTATTATTCAAGACTTGATTGTATCTCACCACGAAATATCCAATGATGTGTATACTATTGCGGGAAATGACACAAACCAGGTACGCCCACAGCCTGGTGTCGGATTTATGGTTTGGTGGGTGATGCTATCGAAGTGACTATATAAATACATATATATATAAAGATTAAGACTTCTTGCGTTTATCATCCTCAATCATCACTACTTATAAAAATGGCCGACGCTACTGATTATAACAAAAGAGGTGACACAAGCAAAGCAAAATCGCATTGTTCAAAGTCCACGTCGACGTGTGTTCCTCGCGATGCGCATTGCGCCTGCCCATGGACCTTCATTTTAAGCTTAATTCACTGCAAGATGAGAACAAAGGCCCAAATACGAGCAATCAAAGAATTTTCTTTCTTCCCCTCTCTGCCCCCAGCTAATAGCATATAGAGCTTGTTATATTTTCAAACCCAATGAAGTGCTGTATGATTCGTGCTCGGTGAGTATGGGAGACACAGGGAGTTGCAGCGACAACGGTCAGAATTTATGGTGGAATACTAGTCGAAAGCAGAGTCAAAAGGTTGAAGTTTACAACGAGGTTCTTAGTAGACTCAAGGAATTGAATGTCCCGGAGGCTGCGATTCCTGGCTTTGAAGATGAGCTCTGGACGCATTTCTATCGACTTCCAGCCGGGTACTTCTAACTGTTTTTTTTGTCGCTCACTCTGTTTCAGAGACCAGAAACAAGTATTGATCCTTTGATGTAAGACTCAGAATTCTGATTTCCTTTCTTTGTTTCTTTTTGGGTTTTCAAGCTCTTTATATCTTCCCGGGATACATGGGAATGGTTATTACTTGTTCATCTTTGCTTTATGATTGCTTTCTTAAATCAACCAAGACATGCATGTCTGTTGAATTCTATCGTCGGTGCAAGGAGCCTTTTGTAATTGCAAGTACACATGCGATAGGTATGCTGTGGATGTGAACGTGGAGAGAGCTCAAGATGTCATTATGCATAAAAGGTTGCTGCATATGGCACATGATCCTGCTACCAGACCTGCTGTTGAAGTCCGTCTAGTTCAGGTAATTTATATTTATATGAAAAATCGTAGCAGGTGAAGTTTAGCCCTCGATACTTGTACCGTTTTCTGTTTCATCTACGCCTCGCTGTGCTAGCAACTAATCATCTCGTCGCAGCATCTTTGATAGAGACATAGAGTTGTCTATACCGTGTTTTCAATTTCAATCGGTTCTATTCTCTTGAGCTTAGACCTTCCCTACTAATAAAGAGTAGATTAGTCGGGAAAGAAAGAAAAAGAAAACTAGCAGCCTGCTTCTTGTGTGGATAGATTGTGACATTTTTTTAAACTGACAAATCAGTTTCCCTTCTGCAACTCTGTTTTGGTTACTTATGATTAGTACGAGTCACACATTTCCGTTTATGGGGATTGCCATTTTCTGAACTTTGTAGAATAGTGGTAGTATCTAGACAAGTAATTTCTTCATTTGACCAGGATATGGGAACTTTGCCGGTACCTGCATTAGCAAACTGATTTGCTAGATCTTGGCAACATATCTGTTATGCAGGTTCGGTTTGCTTCTGGTATGAATTCTAGTGATTCTCTTCATTCAAACGCACAAAGAAAAGTCAGTCATCAAGAGTTTCATATCACAGGCAACACGAGGCATGGTTCTTTGAATATATTTACTGAATCGCTAAATATGTTTGCTTGGCCTTGTCCTTTTCCTCCTATACTTTCCTGCATTATTCATACTCACTCTCGTTTTCATGGTTTTCAGCATTCATCCTGCTCCGGCCTTTGGTTCCTCAGCTAACTTTGAACTTGCTCTTGAAGTAAGCCAGTTAAAAGTTCAATCTAGTAGTGGCAATTCGAAATCCTATACACAATATTCCCGGTAAAACTTTGATGATGAATGTATCCTTCGAAATTCTTTTACCTATTCGTTCGATGAACATCACAAGTTCTGCTCCTTTCTAATATTTATTTTAGAGTCTTCATATTATTATTTTGATTGCTTGCAACACTTATGGCTGTTTACCAGTTTCTTAAAATTATTGAATGAAATGGCAGACCAATGCATGAGATCACTATATCAACAAATGACAAGCCAAAACTTCTCAGTCAGGTAGCTGAGCTCAACTGCTCTGCAAATATTTCTTAGCTTGCATGTGAAATCGGTATTTTCTATTCATGCAGTGTCCTAACAATTACCTGCTAGTTTCTTAATTTTTGGAGCGTGTTCAAAGTTTTAGATCGTTGATATGATTAAGATTTAAAATTCTCATTTTTAATTATCTTCCGATGTTTCGTGTTATGCATCTTTCTGTATCAGCATATGTATGTGTGCATTCATTATAGGTTTCTGAGACGATTAAAATAATTTCAGCAATATCATTACATGGCTATGATATTATACTTTTCAACAAGAGAATAAATAAGGTAGATGTAATATCACTCAATTAGTAGAATAAGATGTGAGTGATAAATTCTCGAGTTTAACTTTCATTCCTTCCCACCATGCAAGCAATTATGCCTTGCAGTTGACTTCCCTGCTGTCTGAAACTGGGCTGAATATCCAAGAAGCACATGCCTTTTCAACATCGGACGGTTATTCATTGGATGTTTTTGTTGTTGATGGTTGGCCTGTTGAGGTACTTCCCTTCTTTTTCTTGTCTGTATCGTATTAGCTTAATCTATTGAAAACTGACTGGGAAGAAATTTAGCTCGTCTTGCTAAACTGAGACTCTAAGAGCGTCCTTTTCTACAATCATAGCCATTCATTTTAAATCAAATGTATTTATCAGTCTTCCAGTTTTTCAATTTACTAGAACTTGATCACAATTTACTATTGAACTCATTTTCATTCCTTTCTATTTATTAAAAGCTACTTGAATAGTTTACATCCTTAAACTTGTAGGATACTGAGAAGCTTAAACATATGCTGACAAAAAAAATTCAGAAACTTGAGGTAGGCTCTTCAAGTCCCACTTGTTACTGCATGAATCTCAACAAAGACGTGATCAATTTTTTCGACACGTTTGATTATAAGGAGAAATTTTTCTTCTTCTTATTTTCACATAAATTGGGTGGAACTATTGGGAAATATATATTTATATATATAAAACTTTTCGAATCAATTTCAGCCTTTCTGTACTTAATTGGAAATTGATTGTTACCTGCATGTCTTCCCCCACCATTTTTCTTTTATTAGAGGAGCGCCCTTACTAAGTTGGATGTTTTGGGTGAAAATCCAGCAGCAGCCTTCCTTCAAGAAAATTGGCAGTCAAACTGCACAGCAAGAACAAATGAGGATCAATTTTATCTCTAATGATGTGAATCTACCTTTTTGTGGAAGTGTTGCCTGGGAAATTGATGCAAGCTGTTTGAAATATGAAAGCAAAATTGCATCTGGACCTTTCTTTGATATGTGAGTAATGTTCTATCATTTGGATGATGTGTTTCAGAGTCAATACATGTTGAATGACCCGTTAGTTGACACAGGTATAAAGGTGTTTTCTGTAACCAAGAAGTAGCTATCAAAGTTCTCAAGACTGAGAATCTGAATGAAAATATACAAAGGGAGTTTTCTCAAGAGATCAATATTCTGAGGTTTGTTACATCACAACTCTCCCACCAGAGATGCACAAACAAAGACGCGTCTGTTATCTTCTATTAAAATTATTATAGGTCACCTTTTCCTTGGGCTGCCTTTCTGCGAAGTGAAAATATGTAATCAGTAGCTTATTCATGGGAATGTTAATGGTTCTCTTTTCAAATTGTGCCTTGCAGTAAATTGTGTCACAAGAATGTTGTCAAATTTGTGGGGGCTAGTACAAAACTTCCAGACCTATTCATTGTCACGGGTAAAAGTTTGTGTTAATGGATTAATTTGACAGTATATAATTATAACTGATGTGGATCAAATGCATTGCATGAAATTTGAAAAATGAAGTGTATTATTCATAATTTATGAACAATGATACTCGTTAGAGCTATTATGTGATATGTAGATTAAATTGATCGAAGGGCCAATTTAATAGGTGAAGTATTGTCAAATTCAGTACAATAACTACATAAAACTCTTTCTTTTCCTTTAGAATACATGTTCGGTGGAAGTCTGTATGAGTTTCTGCATACACAGAAGGCTGTGCTTACTCTTCCATCTTTGCTCAGAGTAGCAACCGATGTTTGTGAAGGAATGAAATATTTGCATCAGAATGACATCATACACAGGGACCTCAAAACTGCGAATCTTTTGATGGATGAGAATAGGGTAATTGATTATATTTTGTGCCATCTGCTTTGGAATTTGATTAGGCTTTTTTTTTTTGGGGGGGTTCTAATAGTGATTACTTAAACATCCTAGCAAGGATTCCACTGTTTTACTTCTCTGGGATGCTGTCAAACAGGTAGTGAAGGTTGCTGATTTTGGTGTGGCAAGGGTGGAAGATCAGTCAGGCATTATGACTGCGGAAACTGGAACTTATAGATGGATGGCTCCGGAGGTGTGCCTCAAACATAAGTAGAATGTATAGTGCTTCCTGATTGTTTCTTTAGTGTTATCAGATGCCACTATCATCATCATCATCATCATCATTATTTTGCTTTAAGGGAACTATGCCTCTTTGTTTAATCTAAGGATAGTGAAGTGAGACTTGAGAATTGAGAGCACTGAAGGTGGCGGTGTGTGTTCCTGAGACAACGTTGACTGAACATAACAGCGCTTTGGTGGAAAGCTAGTTTAGTTTTCGTGACTGTTTACTTGTTTGGGCTGCTTTTGCATATTGCAAAAGGGTAATAAAAATGTTGAAGTGTTTTAAATAGAAGACAAGAGCGGACTGCAAGGGTATGCCCTTCCTCTCACAATTTATTCTCTTATGCCGGCTGAACCCAAAAAAACTTGCATGGCTTTTAGAGGAAGTAGGAAGTGATATACCGGTGCTTTAACCGCACGATAAATTGATTATAATAACGTGATTTGCTTGATATATGGAAGGTTATTGAGCACAAACCCTATAATCACAAAGCCGATGTGTTCAGCTTCGGAATTACGCTGTGGGAACTGCTCACAGGAAAGGTAATGATGATCTTTGCATTACTTCTCCCATAATAGATTCTCCAATAATTGGGGTTGGACTTGCTTTGACTCCTATTATCCATGCTTTTGTGACTGAAGCAGCTTCCACATGAGCATCTGTCCCCATTGCAAGCAGCAGTTGGAGTGGTCCACAAGGTATTTTATTCTTTGACAACATCTGCACCTATCCCTTATCCGTTTCTTTTCTGCGTGGACCGGTGGGGATGCTCTGACATGCGAATACGCATGTCTGTGATTTAATAAAGCTTCCAAGACATAAAGATATTTTCTGGTATTGTGAATTGCAGGGGTTGAGACCCAACATTCCGAGGCACACGCATCCAGTGTTGATAGAGTTGATGAGCCGTTGCTGGCACCAAGACCCTTCCTTGAGACCCGAATTCTCAGAAATTCTGGAATTTCTGCACCATTTTTCCCATAATGTATGTAGGGACATTAATTGTACACCTCCGTTTATTTATTTTATTTCAAGACGTTCAATTTGTTTGCGTCTAAACAAGAATTATGTGCGAACAGGTTGGAGGCGAAGTTGCCACTGACGCCATAAGAGACAACGTATAAATGTGTCTACTCTGTCGGTTACGAAATGATGCCAGGCGGCAGGCACGGTGTACGGATACTGTATGGTACTAGTATACTGCTTGAATTGCCCCAAGCCCCAGTGGACCTTTTTTTTCCAAACACTTTCTCTGTTTTCTTTTCCTTTTTTGTTTTTTGGCCTTTTTTGGGGTTGAACCATGTGGATCCGAAAGGGCGGCAATGCTGTAATTTTCTGTGATCAATCGACGAGGATCGTGGCCCCAAAAACCTGCCAGAATCGTTCATTAATTCGGACTTGGATTCTCCCCACTTCCTTCCCATCCTCTTCCCCTCCATTACCCTTCTTTTCTCTTCACAACCATTAGATTAAAATTCCAATAGTCCAGATTTAACATCTTATAAAAATAATATTATTAAAAAAATAAATAAATAAATTTAAACTGTTAAAATCTGGTCTGAACAGTTTACAATTGTAATAAAAAAATTAAAAAAAATTTGCTCTATAATAACAGTATGTAGTTATGAACTGTTCAGATTAGATTTTAACAGTTTAAATTTATTTATCTATTTTTTATCATAATATTTATCTTTATAAAATGTTATAAAATATTAAATCTGGACCATTGGAGTTTTGATCCAATGGTTGTGAAGAGAAAAGGATGGTAGTGGAGGGGAAGAGGATGGGAAGGGTAGTGGAGAGAATCTGATTCCCATTAATTCAGTCTTGAAGATCGAGGGATGAAATGGAATGCGGTAACAGTGATCAACTCTAGTCCGTTGATGGTTTTACAGAGCTGACCGATGCACTTTTTTTTTGGCAATAATTAACTAATATGTGTGTCTGTGTTTTCACAAAATTTGATAAATGTTTAATGAAATAAACACAATTGTTTATTAAAATTATATACCTCTGATAGTATTTAAAACTTATAAATTTCTATATTTGTATTTTAGGACAAAAATATTAATTTTATAGTTATTCTAATTCAAAAGAAGTATGCATTTCTTCCGTTTAAAAAGAATAATCCTATTGGTCATTCTCTTTAATTCTCCCTTTAAATTACTCCTCCCGTGCTTAATTAATGTAGGATCTAATTAAAAAGTTTATGTTAGTTCTATATGTAAGATCCATTTTCTATGCTTATCAATTTTTTCCTAAATTAACTCTATTGATATTCTCTCAATAATAATCACGTAAGAGAGGAAGAGAGGAAGAGAGAAAATTTAAAAAAATGCTTATAGTATTTTAAAAAAATATAATTGTGGCCTCTTGGGAGAATTGATGAGTGCATCAAAGATGCACTTGCTAGTACTAGTACGTTGGAGAATTCTTAATTGGTTAGTTTAAATAGCTCCGGATTGTGGAACAAAGGAGTATCTCGGACCTACACCGACTAGACATATATCTATCTTATCTATTTGTTTTTCTAAATTATACTATTCTACTCTTGGCAGAGTAAGTAAAGTACTAGTAGCATAGCAAAAATACCTTCCATCTTCAAAAGATCTCAATATATATATATATACACGAAACCCTTTTTTGAAATTAGACTATTCTTTGAGTCCAACTAATTCAGATTATTCCAATATTTGTAGTTTGTGGCTCTCGAATATCCAACTGATTAATTAATTTTTTATAACGTATTCCATTTTTCTGGGTCAAATGATATGACCAAATTACCGGTGAAAAATCCACTTTAGAGCTCGTTTCAAAACAGGATGACTAATCAACCAATTTTGGAGTAAACGTTTTCTCCTTTTTGTTTTGCACATTAAAAAAAAGAAGAATAGGAACGAAAAAAAACAAAAGAATAGAATACAATTTTCCTCGATTCATTCTTCCATGAATTGCTTAAAACAAAACTTTATATTATATTAACTAATTTAATTAATATTTTTAACTTACTCAAATTAGTTAATTAGGTGTGGTGTTTTTTTTTTTTGAACACAGTTGAAGTATAGAAAACTCAAAATTACCGAATTGGTAACGAAAATGAAATGGACCGGACAAGCAGCTAGAGAGCCAATAAATCAGACCCTTTAAGAGCGAGACCCAACCAACCAGACCCTTTTAAGGGCGCAAGGGATAGGATAAAGCCCGAGGATCAGGTTCTGCTGGTTCACTTTTATGGTGGAAAATTTCACAAATACGCTTACAGGAGAAGGAAAGAAGCAAGACTCATAGCAATAGAGGCGTTCTGCTTCGAGGTTAGAAATGGCGACGCCAGCGAAAGTGTACGGACCAACATTATCCACTGCTGTGTCAAGGGTCTTGGCGTGTCTCGTTGAGAAGGACGTCCAATTCCAGCTTATTCCTCTGAACATGTCCAAAGGGGAGCATAAGAAGCCCGATTTCCTCAAGATTCATGTATTTTCTTTGGCATTTCTTTGATCTTGCATTTTTGCTTGCCTTTTCACTGATTTTGCCGTCTCAATTGATTGATGATGCCCCCAGCCCTTTGGTCAAGTACCGGCATTTGAAGATGAGAGCATTTCCCTCTTCGGTAAGTGCATCGAGTTCTTTTATCTTCTCTGTATTCTCTAATTCGTTGCCTGCGTAGTTATTTCGAGTCCCATAAATTCAGAGTCGAGAGCGATATGCCGGTACATTTGCGAGAAACATCCGGAGAAGGGAAACAAGGCACTGTACGGCACGAACCCGTTGGCGAAGGCGTCCATAGATCAGTGGTTAGAGGCGGAAGGACAGAGTTTCAACCCACCCTCCTCAGTTCTGGTGTTTCAGCTCGCATTTGCTCCTCGAATGAAGATCAAACAAGACGAGGGAGCCATCAATCTCAACGGAGAAAAACTAGCCAAAGTGCTCGATGTGTACGATAGGAGGCTAGGGGAGAGTCGTTTCTTGGCCGGCGACGAATTTTCTCTGGCGGACCTCTCTCACCTTCCCAACACACAATACTTGATGAGCACTGAGAAAGGCGAGCTGTTCACTTCCAGGAAGAACGTATCCAGGTGGTGGTCTGAGATTTCCACTCGAGATTCCTGGAAACAAGTGGTTGATATGCAGAAAAATAAAAATTGATGGTGATCTGAGGTGCGTTCTGTTTATTTCCCTTGTCCAGCAACGGGGACTGGCTTCGCCTGAATTCTCAATCAAGTTGTTTGCTTGGTAAGATGACCAATAAATTTCATCCTGCATATGTGGATTGTGGGGTAACATGTTGTGGCGTCTGTTTGCTGTGGTGTTAAGATGCATGGCTTCTAAATCTATCGAATCTTCTAATAAAAAGTGTTATCTATGTGCCGTCTCACCACAGGAGTCTCGTCTTTTTCTTTTTTCTGGTTTTCTTCCACCAGATGGATTCCATTGTCCAGACGATTCACTTCACGAACGCTCCGCCCAGCAAGGCAATAACGCAACCAATTTGCTTCGCATTGCATTTCTGATTATCTAATAACTATACTCCGCTTTATTCGGTTTCATCTATTCATTTTCAGTGAACTGTTTTCTTGAATTCCAGTCAACTTCCAGCCGGTAGATCAATTCAAATATAATTGAAGTCTACCAGAAAGCCAAACTATTTTAAGTGATGACTGATGCGCCGTGAGCCGTGCTTCTTCCTTTTTGTCGTTTTTTTTTTTTTTGAAATAATACTGAATAGCAATACTTAACAAAAACAATCACTAATACAAATACAAAGGAACTAAACTTGATCAAGATCTACCCTTTTGATTTAAGATAGAAATTAATCAAAGATACAAAAAAAAATTTCTAACCTATGAGTAGCTTTTGTTAAACTATCAACATCAAATATATGACACCTATTCACATCTAATTAAGACTTGCCAGTTCATACTGAATACAGCCCCAGTATGACATATAATATCTAAACGGGTGTGCTGCGTTACAACCACGAATACAAAAATTAATGCGGTGCCTTCAACTCCTATAAAGTGTGGACCCATGTAGTGTTTTAGTAAATTTGGTGAGGGAAAAAAAACGGCTTTTCAAAAGAATATAAAGTTGATATGAATGATCAAATTTTGAATGTGCTAAAAAATACCATGGTATTAAAAAGTGCGAATAGATAACGCTTCAAAACCTTCTGATGAACATGCACATCCTTTTTTTTTTGTGAGTAAATGTTAAATAATCAATCTCGTAAATATTGCGATGGTGTTGTGTTAAAATAGATGTGACGGTGCCTTTGAAGACATTCGATAAAAATTACTTATACAGATAAAAAAAATTAAAAAAAATGTAAACATAACAAATAAATTACATATATCATAATTTCCCAATTTAAATAATTTAAATTTGTTTAACTTGACCTATAAGATTTAGATAAAGCATGCTGCTTGAAAGTTTTCTCTTAAAAATCACTTCTCAATATCTGGTAAAAAAAATATATATATATATCAATCTATCGACTAAAATAAATCAGGGTTTTTTTTTCCTTTTTTTGCCAAAGCAAGTATATTTCATTAGTTAAAAATAGCTAATAAGATGTGAATTTCAAACGTATAATTAAACAAATGCTTATACAAAAACAATTTATTTAATCGGAATAACAAAGAATAGGAAGTAAACAATACTACATCCGGTCCTTAATATAAAATCTTGCTTAGCTTTTATTTTGGTCTTAAATATAAGACCCCAATCCACTTTGTCTCTCATATTTATACATTTTTTTTCCAAAGTAGCTTTTTTAATAATGATAGTTCTAGTCAATACACCTGATTAGTAAGGATATTTTAGAAAAAACAACACCTATTTAGGACAAATAACTAACTCAAGTTATTTTCTTAATCTCCTCAAATTAATTAACTAACTCTTATAATTAGGACCGGAGGTAGTATATGGCAATAAAAAATAAATGAAAACTGAATACTCTTCTGGTTCTTAACATAAGACTTATTTAACTAATTTGATTAGATTAAAAAAGTTAGGTAAGTTAGTTAATTATAAAAATGTGACATGTTTTTCCCAAAATACCATAATCATCTTTCTTAATACCCCCTTCCTCTTTTACTTGATTATAGTTGAAAGAATATCCATAGGAGTAATTTAGAGAAAACTAATAATAAATATGAGAAATGGGTCTTATATTTAAAATGAAAACTAACTCAATAATTGAGTCTTATATTAAGGACCGGAAGAGTACATGTTTTTGTTTTTGGTTGATACAAAGTGGGCTAAGCCCAAAATAAGCAATTAAAGACACGTCTTGGTACTCCCACTCCCTCCGGGATCTCTCACACAGCGCACGGAGGCGTAATAAGTTTTCAAACAATTTATAATCACATATATTAATGATTTAAATTTTGAAATATATAATTCTGTCATATATAAGTATTACTGTGTGTATATATATATTAAATATAATTACATATATAAATTCTGGATAGGGCTAAATGCACAGAGCAGCATATCCCGCATGATACCCGACATTTGGCTCTGTTCTAAAATGCCCACTTATGTTTGGGCTGCTTTTTCAAAACTGGGTCAGGCATAATTTTACCGGATTCGAGTGAATATTATGAGCTTTTGGGCATCACAAACACTCCTAATGTGAGGCTTAACAAGTGATTTAAATTATTGACGTTTGGAGATGAACTTGCCCTCCGCGAGTTGGTGACCTCGATAAAAGTTCTCTGAAATCCAATAATTATAAAAGCAATGAGCGAACCTTGTGACAAGTAAAAGAAAACAGGGACGCACATTGCGTGAGGTGCAAAAAATAAAAAAGAGAGAGAGCACACCTAGTCATGTGGCGAGGCTCGTAGGCAAATGGGAACAAATCAAAGCCAGCAAATTGCAACTGGACTCTATATCTCATGTACTTTCCCGACAGCTACAAACTATGTTTCAAAACTATTAATAACATACATAGGCCTTCATATTGGGCTCATCCTATCACCCTTCTTATTCAACCTGCAACAATCCATAGATTCAAATTATAGCGCTATTCGAAACTTCAAGTCGTTTTTTTTTTTAAAAAAAAAAAAGATTCAAAACGCAAGATAAGAATCCGCGAAAAGTAGAACCCAAAACTCGTTTGTTTTTTTTCCAATAATAAGAAAATAAAACTAGTTTATAAGCCTGAAATCTTCTAATTTATATCCACGTATAATGTAAAATTTCTAATCTGTATTATCAGTAAATCAATTTCATAGATGCTGGTCTCCAACGATCCGCTCTAAATACTGCATCAAGCAATGTATCATCCTAATTATTACTACTATTTTGCTGTTAGCTCGATCGGTCTTTCCATACTCGCTTCTGTTGTTATCCTGACGTACTTATTTTCACAAACGTCGGGATTTGACATATCACAGCATGTGATAATTATCTTCTATAACTGTAATCGTAATCAGGAAAGTAGGATACCTAATCAAGCGAGGTAAATAATAATATTGCGGAGGAAAAAGTAAATACGTGAATAACGGGTGGGTGGTGCCGTAACGCAGGGAAGCAGTAAATTAGGGTGTGTTCGTGAGAACTGAGAAGGGATCAAGGGTGGGCCGATTCACGCGGGATGCACGTGCACTCATCACCCCGTACTTCTACTACTAACCCTCCCTCCCCACACCAACACACATTCTAACCCCAAATTCTCTGCCTTCTCTGCTCCTCTTCCCTACATGGACTCCCTCGCTCTCTTCTGTACCGGCGCTCTCCTCGCCGGCGGCCTCTACTGGTTCGTCTGCATTCTCGGCCCTGCCGAACAAAAGGGTAAACGCGCCGTCGATCTATCTGGTGGCTCCATCTCCGCCGAGAAAGTCCAAGATAAATATAAACAGTACTGGTCCTTCTTCCGCCGCCCAAAGGAGATCGAAACCGCCGAGAAAGTCCCCGACTTTGTTGATACTTTCTACAATTTAGTCACCGATATTTACGAGTGGGGCTGGGGCCAGTCCTTCCACTTCTCTCCCTCCATCCCCGGTAAATCCCATCGCGATGCCACGCGGCTCCACGAGCAGATGGCCGTTGATCTCATCGATGTCAAACCCGGCGATCGAATTCTGGACGTTGGATGCGGTGTGGGTGGGCCCATGCGAGCTATCGCCGCCCACTCGCGTGCCAAAGTCGTTGGCATCACCATCAACGAGTACCAAGTGAATCGCGCCCGGTTGCATAACAAGAAGGCGGGACTGGACTCTCTATGCGAGGTTGTGTGCGGCAATTTCCTGGAGATGCCCTTCGACGATAACAGCTTCGACGGCGCGTACTCTATCGAGGCAACATGTCACGCGCCGAAGCTGGAGGAGGTATACGCAGAAATCTATCGGGTGCTGAAGCCGGGGGCTCTCTATGTTTCCTACGAATGGGTGACGACGGACAAGTACAGAGCGGAGAACCCCGAGCACGTCGAGATAATACAAGGGATTGAGAGAGGGGATGCTCTGCCGGGGCTGAGAGGCCACGCGGACATCGCAGAGACGGCGCGTAAGGTGGGGTTCGAGGTGGTGAAGGAGCGGGATCTAGCGAAGCCACCGGCCCAGCCGTGGTGGGCGAGGCTGAAGATGGGGAGGATTGCGTACTGGCGAAACCACATTGTCATCACGCTGCTGGCCGCATTGGGAATAGCACCCCAAGGAACTGTGGACGTTCATGAGATGCTATTCAAGACGGCCGACTATTTGACCAGAGGGGGCGAGACCGGAATTTTCTCCCCTATGCACATGGTCCTCTGCAGAAAGCCCCGCTCCCCCGGTTCCCAGTCCTGATGAGGTAAACCCATCATTCGCCCAGCCCTATTCTAGCTTTTCGCCCTTTTTTTTTTTTTTTTCATTTTAAATTATTACTATGACGAACTCGGTGTAATTTTGTTCTTGGAATTTGTACTTTAGATTCCGAAATTTTCTGCTCAAGCGGTATAGTGTTAATTGCAATGTCTGTTATTGGATCCTAGTTAGCAGAAAGAAAGGATGATAAGGAGAGTTTGGAATTTGTTTTAAAAGCGCCCATCTATGTTGTTGGCTGATTGATTCTCAGGCATGAGGAAATTTTTTTTTTGGTGGGGTTTTTTTTTGGGGGGGGGGATTCCTGTTTTAATTAATATTGACTGATGTTGATGGAGAGAATAAGGGGGGTGGGGGGATTTAGTGGGAATCGAATTGAATGTACAGTGAGGGGAATGGCGATGGGGGGAATTGGATCTGGCGACGGCGAGGGAAGGGAGAGGAGTGGGAGGAGGAGCGCACATGAGTGACAGACGTGATGGATCTTAGCGCGAGAGAGGGCTTAGGTGGCAGCCACTAGCACACCACTTTATGCTGCTTACGTTCAGATTGTGGATTGGGGATATTTATTATTCCAGCCTCCTGAGTCCTGCCTCCATCTCCGTCGTCTTATTATTTTTAAAAGAGAAAAAAAGAGTTAAGATTCACGGCATTATTCGTTGATATAAAAATATTAGGGGCATAAATGGGACGCCCCCTATGTCCCCACCCCGTCCTGCTTGCTTTGGATCTGTCAATGCTGGTGTCCCTTGTCATGTTTCCCGTGACCTGTCCTCGGCTAATGGTATCTTTCCCCCCCAAATAATCCTTAGCCACCCGCTTTGTTCTCCTTCCACGGATCCCTCTCAAAGATCTTTTCGTTTCTTCTGTGTGGATTAAGCGGATCCCTTCCCGAAAGATCTCCTTCTTTTGTGCTCTAACATCACATGTTCCCCCACATTTTTTCCTTTCAATGGGATATTATTATAGTCTAGTAGGCGGTGGCCAAACCCTACACGGGCTCCTTCGCCATTCTATAAGCTGCCAAGCTTGCGGCTGTCCATCGCCAATATATCCTTAATTCCCTCACTCCCCCCTCCAACCTCGCATTCACCGCCCCCCCCCCCCTTCCTTCCGGTGGCCTCTCGTGCCTTGTCTTACTTGTGCTTACAACCTCCGTTTATGTCCTTTGGGGTTTTCTTTTACCCAAATACAATGTTATAAATAAATAAATAAAAAATTAATGCGACCACCGAATGGACAAATGTGAAAAATTGGAATCGTCTCATTTATTCCTTTAGTCTTGCTACGTCCAACAAATTTTAACCCTCAATCACTGATTTGAATGCATGTTTCAAACGTTAGTAGCGAAATTACAAATGAAAAGGCAGGAGGGGGCTGTAATTTTTTGCCCCGTCATATGCTTTGGAATGTTTTGAATCTTAGTGCGAACAGTCAGTCAGTCACAGAAACAACCTTTCTACGGACAAATGCATATGCAACAAAAGGGAATTCGCTCCGTTGTTACGTTACAAACCGCGAAGAGATATCGAATATTCTGGCACTGAAGTTAACTTGCTTGACCATGAATGTCACTGAGAAGTGGGAATCCGTATTAATTATATTATTTCTTGCGATTGCTTTTGGAGAATGGTATGAGTCAATCAACACTTCGGCATCTTATTGAACGAAAACGGTCATCATATCCAATTTCTGTTGTTATTAAATGGAGGAAAACAAAGGATTTCGAGCCAGGGTCCTCAACCGAAAAAAAAAAAAAAAAAACGAATTGTGGGCGCAGTGGTAAAGTATCTCGGGGAAAAGAGGGCTGTTCCCGATCACCGAGTTCCACGCTTTGAGAAATCAGGTCGGAGCTACGGCCCAAAGAAGTCAGCAATCTTATAGCCCAACTTCAGATATGATTTGCGGGAAAAAATCTGCGAAAATTGCCAAGAAAAAAAAAAATCCAAGCAGCAGCGGGGCGCGTGAACAATATGAACCACACGCCTGGACAGCGGATGTGATTTTTGAGCCGGGGCGAGGCAAGACGGCAGTAGTCGTGCTTCTTCCATTGCTGTTCCTGAACGTGGCTTGTACTCGGAGGGCCAAGTAATTAGCCGCCGCCACCGCATCTCGAACCATTCTTCTATGGCTTCCATCACCAATTTCGCGGTTAAATCACCCTTGTCCCTCTCCACCCACCACTCCAAGCTCGTCCCCCTCCATTCCCGTTCTTCTTTACCTTCTCTGACGTCTCGTGCTGCTCCACCGGCTGGACTCAGAACCCCTCACTACAGCCGCTTAATCACAAGAGCCACAGCCGCCCCCGGTGCCAAGAAAGTTCAAAGCGACGAGAGAGTTCAAAAAGTTCATAGCATCGAAGAATTCGACAAAGCCCTGCGATCGGCCAAGGACAGACTGGTGGTGGTAGAATACGCCAGCAGGACCAGCTATGAGAGCAGCAAAATATACCCTTTCATGGTGGAACTGAGCCGATCGTGCAGCGATGTGGACTTCCTTCTGGTGATGAGCGACGAATCAGAGAAGACAAGAGAGCTATGCAGGAGAGAAAAGGTGGAGAAAGTACCTCACTTTAGCTTCTACAAGAGCATGGAGAAGATACACGAAGAGGAAGGGATCGGTCCGGATCAGCTGATGGGAGACGTGTTGTACTACGGAGACAGCCATTCGGAAGTGGTACAGCTGCACAGCAGAGAGGATGTGGAGAAGCTGATGGAGGATCACAAGGCCGACCACAAGCTGATCGTTCTGGACGTGGGGCTCAAGCACTGCGGGCCCTGCGTGAAGGTGTATCCCACGGTGCTGAAGCTGTCCAGGCAAATGTCTGACTCGGTGGTGTTTGCCAGGATGAACGGCGACGAGAACGACAGCTGCATGCGCTTCTTGAGGGACATGGACGTGGTGGAGGTGCCTACGTTTCTGTTCATCAGAGACGGCAAGATTAGCGGAAGGTATGTGGGTTCTGGAAAAGGCGAACTCATCGGCGAGATTCTGAGGTACCAAGGGGTTCGTGTCACTTATTAATTTGATACATGTTTGGCTTCGCTTCTCAATATATCTATCTCCTCATTATTCTCATCATACATGCCTTCATAAATTGCACGAACCATCGCGTCTACTGTCCTGGGGGAACACTCCTATCTAGGAACCCAATATACTAGTGCAATTTTTTTTCCTTCTAATTGTGGATGCCTTCGTTTCTCTCTGGCTTCTTTTAATTTCGAGCGGGTGATATAACAACTGTTTCTACAATATTGGAATAAAAAGTGTTTTGAAATTCACTTATAAAATTATCTTAAAAATTATAATTTATATTTTGTATACTACGTTCCTTATTATAGAGACATTGATGCTTTAGTATGTTCCTATATAAGAGACACTTACAAGTTGTCTCTATTGTGTTGATTTACTATTTACCCATATTTATTATCTCCAACTCACACTCTCTCTCCTTTCACTTCTCTTCAATATTTCATGCTCCTCTCCTTATTAATGAGGGTATTTTTGGAAAAAAATATACTTTTTACACATTATTGTATTAACTAATTTAACTATTTTTGATCAACGTACTTCGGTTATTTGTCTCTTATAATAAGGAATTTTTCAAGTTTCGTTCCCCAAAACACTCCCTTCCTACAGCCCAACTAGCAAAACTTGTCACGAGGAATCACCCAACCTGTACAATATAGAAATCTGAAGATAATCCGACAAATACCAATAGAGTACAGGTAATTCTCTGGTATGGCGGTTGATGGAGGCGGTTGGTTCGGGAATGAGATTATTAGATGCTGTAGCAAAACTCATTAGATCGTTAGCGAAACTCAATCTGCTACCGTAATAATGGATAACTTTGGGGAATATGACGAATGTGCATTACGCGTTGGCTGCGAGGGTTTTTTGTAAGAAGTCCTATGTAATTGAGAAGGATACACTTTCGGTCGGGAGGGGGAAAAAAAAGGGAAAGGCTGCACTGGATTGCTCCGCACGGCAGCATTAACCATTGGCCGGGACCCTCCTTTGTCAAAGACGTTCACGTCTATCCATAGTCTTGACGTAGCTGTTAACACGTACTGAATGAAATTGGTGAGCATGTTCATGTATAGGGTTAAAAAAAAAAAAAACAGAGAAAGAGCGGGTGATGCTGAAAAATAGTAAATTCCACATGAGCGTATAGACTATATGCTTACGCTGGTGAAACTGGTGTCTCTCTTGGTTTGCTTAGCTTTAGCAGTTAGCAGTTATAGCACTTTGAGGGGAAAGTGATGCCGCGGTAATTGCATGGAGGATTCATTTATTCATTCACACGGCCACAAAGCCACTGACTCTGCAACAAACTTGGCAACTGATGGCTGGGAAACCGGCCGCTCCAATGTCTCAGCGCACTTGATTTCCATTGCAACAGCACCCAGTTATAATCGTTTGTTGCGGCTGCCTTCATAACGACTGCTTATCTTATCAAAAATCACATTCGATCCTCTCGGCTGTGTGTATGCGCAGTAACCCCGATGAATCGTTTTTTAATTTACTATAATTATAGTTATATGTATATTTCACGTGCCATGGAAAATTGAAAATGAATCTGGAAATAAATGGCTGGTGATTGACCTGTTCGTATATGGCTGGCTAATATGGAGGCGATTTTTTATTTAGCCGAAGAAGGCTCAATTTTTGTCCCGTCGAAATCCCTAATTATACCTAGAAAAATGCACGGCCATCGCCTGGGGTGAAATTTACATCATATTGAACATATCTACAACCACATGAAGCCCCAGAAAGCGCAATTAAAATTCGATGGCAAAAAAAAAAGCGTGATTAAAAGAAAAAATCAACTTGCTCTGAGCCCCGGTTTCAATTGGAGAGGCCTGGGCGGTGTCATCGTCCTTCTCTTCCACAGATTAATTTCCTTCCTTGGCTGTAAAGGCACTCCTCCACCGTGACAACCAACACCTACCATAATAGGTGCAGAGAAGGGAATTATGACCTCTTCTTCTTCTGCGTCACTCTTCTCTCTGTCTTGATCTGAAAAATAACCGTTGTGTTCCATGTCTACTGCCGGCGCATGAGCCTTCCAATCAAACTCAGTCAAAGCATTCCGCCCGCTGGCAAAACGCTTCATCCCACCCAGAGCCGGTGGCGCATGAGCCGGGGCGGTTGCTGCAGCAGGAGCAGGATGCCTGGCGCCGTGGAATATCCTTGGGAAAGCGGAAGAATGCTGCTCGACCTCTCTGACGTCCTTGGGCAGCGACATGCTCTTGGCCTTGGCTTTCTTGATCTGTTTCTTCTTGTGCTTGATCTGTCCCATGCACGACACTTTAGGAGAAGTAGGTTCTCGGGAATCAATATTGCTTCCTCCATGGTCCTTTGGTTTAGTTCTGGCTTCATCCGGAATCATTGATACCGTGGGACCGCCGCGCTGCTTGAACCACCTGGATGCATTCTCAGGTCTTTTGGTGTGATCCCTGCCCGGACTGAAGGGCGGATTTTGAAACGTGACTCTGACTGCGGCTGCCGCTTTTGGCAGTATCTTCAACATCCTGTTCTTCAGCTTATGCCGTTTCTCCATCATTCGAAGGCCAAATAATTGTGTTGGAATGGGTTCTGCTCTCCCATCTTTAAATATAATTATGAACAAGATCAACAGGCCCAACCAGAACATCGTAGGGGTGTGCACTGGACTTTGTCAAGAAAGGCGGGAGACGGTGATGGGGTTTGGTCAAATAAAATCGGTGTGACTGGGCAAACACTCTTCCATCTATTAAACAAATCCCTCAAGAAATGAAACAGCCTGGGTCCTGTTCTCTGGTGATAAAAGACAAAAATTAAAAAAAAGGTCTATTTGCGCGTGCGTATATATTCTTAAAATTCGGCTTATTTATTCATGGAGATCATCACACGCTTGGGCTTCAGTCGATCGATACCCTTTGCGCCACTGGCTCTGCCCCGTGTCCGGCTAGTCAACTTTTGATCTAATCACTAAGGAGCCACGTGACTCCCACAATAAAATAAGATGACTCTGAAAGATGGTCCATTGTCCGGCGAGGCGCAAGTCTTGCTAATTAGATTAAAACATTTAAGTATGCTTCTTGGGCTGGGGAAAAAGAGTGATTATGAAAGTAGTGTGCTTTTATGAAAAGCAAATGCTGTAGTTGTAATAAAGCGAGGAGAATCCAATCCGGTGAAATGTGTTATGATGCTTTTAAGTTTTGAATCCACCAGGGGCAACTTCGGAAGCTCGCAGGCGGAGGTTAGCCAAGAAATGAATCCAATGGGCAAAAACAGGGCGCGCAGCTCAAATCACCGATTTCTCGGTCCAAGAAAATAGAAGCTCAAATTACCAACTTGCCCATTCAATTGGCTATTTCATTATATATTTTTTTTTCGCCCGAAGGGCTATTTTATTATATTTACGTCCGTAAAAGAAGGGGAGAAGCGGAGAACTGAATGGGGAAGCCGGGGTATTTATGTCATTAAAGAGCTACGTACTGTTTTTAATTTTGCAGGACAAAAGTCGCGCCAGAAAGCTACCATTCGTATTCGTACACTGATTATATGAATTTAGGAGAGGGATAAGTGCCTACCTCTCCCAAACCTCAGAATAACAAGCTATAATTGCATCCCCACCTCTCATTGTATGATTCGAACGGATTATTGAGAGTGGACTGGTTTCTTGTATGGCTTGCTTGAGTTAATCGTTCTTTGTTTTAGGGTTTTGGGTCGATTCAGTAATGGCGAGGGGAAAGTTTGCAAGGTCACAGGGCAAGAAATGGTCTACCTTGACCTTGGCTTTCTTCATGCTTTTTATGCTCTCCATTGTCCTTCTCATGCTACTCGCTCTCGGAATCGTTTCTCTTCCGATCACCACCGACGATTCTCCGCCTACTGACCTCAGTGCCTTCAGGCGCAAGATCTCTGACAGGTATCATCCTATATCCGTCTTACTTTTATATCATCACCTGGAACTTGTTTCTATTCACTCTCGTGCTTTCTCTGACTAAAAATGCATCTATATATATTGCTTGCTGAAGAGGTGACGGCTTGGGAGAAAGGGGGCAGCAGTGGACCGAAGTTCTCTCATGGGAGCCTAGAGCTTTCATTTATCACAATTTCCTGGTCCGTTTTTCAGTACTCGATCACAACCTCTGGTTTCTGTGTTTTGCTTTTCCGTCACCTGGTACTTTTTTAATTTTGGACTTATCAACATATGATGCATCTTTGGATTTGTCATTTTGGACATTAGTTCTTGTAATGTGGTGTTTTTAGTCGGTGAGATTCTTATCTTTTAGTATTCAGCCATTTTTGTTGGGATTTCTTCCTGAGTAATTTATTGACGGAGACGGGTTAAGTTTGTAACATAACGAGCACTTTATCACTTTCACGCGCATGTCAGGGAATACTTTGTAGTTTATATAGAGTAGCATTAATCCAATTCAAATTTTTCTTGTCGATTGTCTAATATACCGATTGCAGACCTGCCAATTCAAGGCCTTAAATGTCTGAGCTCAATTAAGTTGCCATAAGCTAGGCTTGTCCAAACCGCTAGCATTAATGTATTTTATATGCAGTGCTTCACAATCTTAATAAAGACAACGTTGCGTCGTTTACTTTAAGGATATATATATATATATATATATATATATATATCACCAGGAAATGTAACCTTCTGGCAGTTGTAGGCCAGTCTCCCTGGGGTAAAGCATCAAGCAAGGTAGGAAATTATGCTAGGAAGCAGAAAAGGGAATGAAATCTGAAGATATTTAGGCAGTATACTATCAAACATGGAAACTGTTGGTGGGCCAATTAAAAAAAAAAAGTGTCGGTAGGCATGTGGCAGGTTGGGGCGGCAGGTGTGTGATAGAGGAATATGTATTACCTCACTTGCTTAATTTCATGCAGCATTCTTTGACATGTTCTTGGCCCCCTGGTCTTCCCCTTTATAATCCTCATCTCCTTTTTTCAGCCCCTTTAACGTTCTAATCTTTGTTCTGCGTCAATAAGAGGTTGAGTAGGTGGTCATCTTTAGTTTCTTAAATTCTACTTATGTTTTCATGGTTGTAAGCTGTTGAAATTTGTATTTTTGAGAATCTTAATTCTGATTATCATGTGGAACAGTCAAAAGAAGAATGTGAATACCTCATTAGTCTTGCCAAACCTTTGATGGCAAAATCGACCGTTGTTGATAGCAAAACTGGACAGAGTAAAGACAGCAGGTTAACGCTTGCTTCTCTTTTATAAAGTTCCCAAAAATTGTGGATTGTATTTTTGTTTCTATACGTGCTGTATGAGACATCAGTACTTCAGTGGTAATGCTAGATTCCCCTGCTTGCAGAGTGCGGACTAGTTCAGGAATGTTTCTGAAGAGAGGACGGGATAGAATCATCCGGAATATTGAAAAAAGAATAGCTGACTTTACCTTCATACCCGTAGGTATGAGTTTATGTATGCTACCTGTGTAAAACTGCTTAGAACACTCTCCTGAGGAACTTATTTCCTTCTTTATTGGTGTATTCTACTGCTTAAGTAACTTTAATGCCTGTTTGATTGGTTGAAAGATTTTATGTTCTCTAGTATGGTAGTACCTACTACGCTTGGGATAGATATAACTGCTCATTAACCAAAAAATATTCAGAGAACGGAGAAGGGCTTCAGGTTCTTCACTATGAAGTTGGGCAGAAATATGAGCCTCACTATGATTACTTTCTCGATGAGTTCAACACTAAGAATGGTGGTCAACGTGTCGCTACTGTTCTTATGTATCTGTGAGTTCTTCTGCTCTTTCCTAGTCACAATTTTGCATTTTGCTTTCTGATGGGCGTGTGGGCACTCTTAATTGTCCGCTTCTCCTACTCTATCATTTTCTTTCTGCTTCTGGCTCAGGTCAGATGTTGAAGAAGGTGGGGAGACTGTCTTTCCTGCTGCCAAGGCAAATTTTAGTTCTGTCCCTTGGTGGGATGATTTGTCTGAATGCGGTAAAAAGGGTCTCTCTGTGAAACCCAAAATGGGTGATGCTCTGCTCTTCTGGAGCATGAGACCAGATGCCTCACTAGATCCTTCAAGTTTACATGGTTAGCAGCTGCCCAAAATATTGTTGTGTAAACAATTTTAACTAAGCGAGGATTTGTAAATTTTAGATAATTGATCTATGCTTCCAGGTGGTTGTCCCGTTATTAGGGGAAACAAATGGTCTTCAACGAAATGGATGCATCTTGAGGAGTACAAGGTCTAAGACACTACCTGTACGGGTACATCTTGAGATCAACAGGAAAATAGGTATGCAATCAATGCACGCGTCTCCATTCCTGTTCTTTACTCTTAATCAAGTGGGGAGTATGGTGGTTTCAAAAGCTGAAGGATTAAGTCGCATGCTTTACATTGATATTGATGTCTAATCGATAAATCAATGATCAGTAAATAGTAAATAGATTATAGGAAATAAGTACTGGCAGATTATTTTAATTTTATGTAATATACTTAACGATATGTATTGCTTTCAAAACTTTACATGAAAGATGAAAACCTAACCAGCAGGGTAGGGGTTCAGTAGTTTGGACATTGTACAGTTAATAATATACTCCCTTTGGTCCTTTTTATAGTTAGAGAAATCCTACATGTTGCAATTAGTTATTTCTGGTAAAATGTTTAAAGAACCCTTAATAAATATCTCTAGTTAAAGGAATTTAGTTGCTTAAGGGGGGGTTTTGGATTAGTTTTTTTTAGAAGTGATTTTATGATGTTTAAGGTATGTATGTGAAAGGAGTTTTGTCTCGATTTATATGAAAGTGGTTTTTTTTTTTTTTGTTTAAATGCTTTTAAGGGGTTATAAAGAAGTTTCATAGTTAGGAATATTAGATGAAAAAAATACTTACGACAAAATATGCATGCAACAGTTCTTTAATAAGGACCGAAGGGAGTATTGATATGATTAAATTAGGTCTCATGCGTTTGCAGGTGGTGCAAAATAGATTAGACGGCATTATTCATAGTTAATGAACAAAGAAGCTCGTCACACTTTTTATATCTAGTATTGAGACATTATAAGTCTTCCGTGGCAGTTCCCCTTTTCTTTTTCTCACTTGGTAATTTCTTATTGCAGGATTCACGTATATTCCTTGCTAGACTGCCTAGTGACATTTTTGTCTTCTGAGGTGCCTCCGTATTCTTTTTCCCCTGTACAGAACAATAATGCTTGGTGATTTGTGTGGCGAGCATGATCTTAGCGTTGCTTTTTTCAGCACCAGGTTTGCCAGGTGTATTTGATTGTTGAACAAACTGAAAAGTAATGCATTGTTGTCATTTTCCTTTCTATCGCACGGTATTTTTATCTTTGAACATAAGATATTCTCTTTCGGTCCTAAATATAAAACCCATTTTGTAATGAGTCTTATATTTAGGACCGGAGGAGTAATTACACTTAAATGCGAACAAGCATGTTAAATGAATTATAAAATCCAAAACTAACCGGTCAACGGTTTTTTTTTCTTCAAATTTTTGTGCATACCTAAAATATAAATATCTTATGAGTTTGTAGGAACTGGGAAAGGAAGAAGGAAGATTGTCACAAGTCTAATTTTAAAAAAACCGGAATGATATTAGAGGATAGAGAAAGGAAAATTAATTAAAAACTTTCAATCTCATTGCTTTATTTTTTTTTTCCAAATAGTACTTGTTAAAATTTCTAATCCCTTCCTTTTATTACACTCAAACGGTCAAACAAAACAATAGGTCAATTAGTATTTTTTTTATCTGTGGGGTAGAAGTTATTTTAAGAACTTGTTATATTTTATAATTTGTTGCTTTATGCATGCTAAAAAATAAACAATAATTTAATTTTTGCTGCAATTTATTATTTTATGCATATTGAAAATATAAGCAATAAATTATTTTATTCACAATTTATTATTCTGTAAAAATTGAAATTTAAAACAATAAAAATTGTTTACCTTACAACTCAGAGAGAATGACAAAAAAAGAAAGCTAAAAATTACTAAATCTTAAATCAGATTTGTTAACAATTTATTTGGTGTTGACAATATAAAATTTACAAATAATAATAAATTTTTGTTGACATTTTTCATTTGGTATTTACAAATTTTTGGCTTCTTTTTTTATTATTTTTCTACAATTTATATAAATTAAATTTGTAATTTCAGTGCGAGGCCATATCCGCTGTTTTATTACAGGCCTCGTTAATTATACAATTGTCAATTGTAAAACTCATGCAGTTTTTCCCCGTCAAACGGCCTCATATTTTCCCAACTTGATTTAAATCTTTTGGAAGGCAATTAGTAAAGACCTCTTCCCGTAAAAATAGATATTCCTTCCCCTTTAAAAAAAAAAAAAAGAAAGATACTCCCTTAATTAGCAGGCAGCGCTGAAGAAGACGCTATAGATAGCAGGCCTAAATGCTAATCAATCAATCTGTTGATGGTTTATTGAGCCTAAACCCTAAATCGTCTTATGATGATTTAACTCAAAGCAGTCAGTAATACGATCAACGGATGCAAGGGATCAGGGAGATCATAACCCACTATAGAGGAAAGTACAATTAAAATCATGTCATTATTAATTACGTTATACAATAAAGGCAACCTTTCGCTGAGTTTGAGGCAACATCAGTATGGTCAAAAAACAAAGGCCAAAACGTGTTAGATTTCTTCCAACGAAACGGATGCTAGAAAGTTCACAGGTGACATCAGAGTAAGGTGATAATTCCCTAATCCCTTTTCTTTATAAACATAATTGCAATTAAAACTCTGCAATTGCATTATACATTGTTTTTATTAGTTTTATTACTATATTTAAACACTAATAAGATTTAATTTTATTTTTTGAATTAAATCAAAACACTTTAATTTGAGAGATTATGACAGGAAATGAGATTTATTCACCCCTTTTTTAAATCTTTCCCCAGGCTTAAAAGAAATTTACAAATTTCTAATTTCAAAACATCAGGATCTGAAAAAATCCCACCCAAGTTTTTATTATTTGCTTCCTCTTAAATTTTGTCGATGGCCCTCAACATTTGCTCTGACAGTCTGACTAGAGGGAAATCAGGCTTATTTACCAATAACTAATGTTAAGTGAATGTGTCCCATTAATGCAGGGGGTGGATATTAAACAGAGAGATAAATATAAATTGGCAGCGTAACAAATTGCTAAGCATACAAGAAAGCAGTGACGCCGTTAAGTTTATTCAAAGCACGAGAGAATAGTGATAGAAGCAATTGAGAGTGGAAATGGCAGCACATAGCAATCAAAATCCATAATGCCTTTGGCTTATTATCACGTTGGATACATTATTTCATTCTCACACACTCGTCTCATCCCGCGTTCTTCATCATAGCCACAAACTCCTCGTAATTGATCCTGCCATCCTGCACCCAGAAATGGGGACTCGTCATCAATCAAATCTTGCAACATATAATATAATTCACAAACCAACACCATTCAACTTACTTTATCAGTGTCCACATCGTCGATCACTTCATCTATCGTGGCTTCATCCCCCATTCCGTATTCAGTCAATGCCTGCCTAAGCTCCTCTCTCGTGATATATCTGATCAATATCCACCCAAGTAAGAAACAACTTCACTCAGCAACAGACTAACATAATAACTTGTTTATTTATGATTCTGATTCAAGTTACAGTCTTGCACTATAATTTCCCAGAATAAACAGTTTCGGGTGATCAATTTCATTATATGCATTCCCATGTATACTAACCCACTGTTATCCTTGTCGAAGTATTGGAAAGCCTTGAACAAGTTCTCTTCCTTCTCAAGTCTGTGCCGATGCATGGTGGCAGTTATGAATTCATAATAATCAATAGTTCCATTCTTGTCAACATCAGCCTGAAGACACCACAACCACCCACAATATTCATCATTCAATTTTTCTGTTCTTACGGCATTCGAAGAGGCTCAAAATTCTCATCAATTAAATAACTTGGTTCACAACACCCCCCCCCAAAAAAAAATCCACTGGTATTGAACTTACAGCATCCATCAACTGCCGTATTTCAGATTCGTTAAGTTTGGATCCCAATTTGGACAATCCAGCTCTGAGTTCTTCAAGTGTGATCGTGCCACTGTTATCTGTATCCATATTGCGGAACATTTGTTTCAAGCCCTTGATTTCTTCCTCTGATAGGTTTTGTGCTATTACCTTCCAAAAATCCAACCTTCGGTCACTAAGGGTAAAAGAGGGAAGTACCAAGTAAAATAAAATGACTTTGCATGACACGATGTCCAAATGTTCCACGAATCAAACAGAAATTCTGTGGAACATGGACATGCATTCTTTCCAGTGGCATTGAATTCAGGCCTTTTTCTTAAACACTAACAGGAATTAGACCATAACTTCAAATCCAGAAAGAAACTAACTATAATTCACTGACAAAACAAAAGGCTAGAAGTTACCTTTAGGGCAAGTTTCTTCATTTTGTTCATTGCTCTGAACTGTTTCATCCTAATTAAAACGGCACTGTCTATAGGCTTATCAGATGCTTGACCACCCACTTTCATCCATGGATGTTCTGTTTCAAATGCATAACAATATTTATAATTTTTCTGTAATGAAAAACCGGTTTACATACTAAACATGACAAGTTATTTGTTGGAATCTACATAATAACGGAAGAATTATGCGTTTAAACTCAACTACATACTCACCAAGGGCATCAGCGGCTGTGATGCGTTTCTTGGGATCATATGCCAACATTTTTCTGATCAAATCCTTGGCAGAAGCTGAAATAGAAGGCCATGGTTGGCTTTCAAGATCCGGTTTGCCTTCCAGAATAGCATCAAATATGCCTTTCTCGTTCTCTGGAAAATTTTGACTCATTATGTCAATAAAACGAAGATATAAATATGGACACAACAAATGTGGAGGGAACAAGAGAGTGGAAGAGATATCGCATAATTGCAGAGTACAGTTGAACAAGAACAGAGGCAGGCATTATATCCTTACCAGCCCAAAATGGAGGCACCCCACTAAGGAGGATGTATAAAATGACTCCTGCACTCCACACATCTATCTCTTTTCCATAATTCCGTCTTAGAACCTCCGGGGCCACATAGTACGCACTTCCCACGACTTCCTTATACTCTTTACCTGCATCAAATCTTATTATTATTGTTACTACACTTCATAAGAATGTATTGATAAAAACTTGCTGGGAAAGAAACGAATTGAAATTGATAACGATAACGATGCTTGCTCTATCGAACGCTTTTCTGAGGCATTTTGCTGCTGGTGGCACCATCAAAGTGCAGAAATCGCTCATCCCAGAACGTCCTAGATAACATGCTAACCTTGCTTGTTTCCCAAGGTTATTGATCGTGTTGCATATTTCCCAATAGTCATATTGTGGGTATGGCCCCAGAAAATAACCAGTGAGCATGATGGTCCCACTAATCTGTGGGCCTCAGATCTGCCTCTGCTTTCCCCACTAAATATGAACCAGTTTACTCCGTTTACTTGTCACTGTCCGACTTTCGCACAGAAGATCGTTTACTCGGTTGACTTCTCGTTTCACTTTTTAATCGACGACTTGGTCAATCACTCATCCTGTCGCCCAGTCCTTGAAATTCATTCGGTTAAATTCCACTCTATTATGCCTAACTCATATTATCTTCTCTTTATGTTCTAAAGACATGCACTTTGTACACAGACTTTGTTTAAAAATATAACAGCAGCAGTCTTATAATTATTGTATCATTATTCATATAAATAGAGTATAGCATAACTATCTACTATGTACATACTCACTCTCCGCTTATGAAAATAACTAATTTTATAAATCCACTATCAAAATAGAAGATTAAAAAAAATATAATTTTTCAAAATAACACGTCTTTTTTATAAAGAATCATATTATATAAATTCAAGACTCAAGAGATTGTTATGCTCCATGCATGCGGAAGGAAGACGGAGATGGATCATGGAAACAAAAAATATATCCAGAAAATCCTCCAAACAGCCCCGCCCTTTTTTAAGTTGGGAAAAAAAAAATTCCCCTTCTCCAGAAATATTGTTCATCAGCGGAGAGTATAAAGGCTGTCTCAGTCAATGTTGTTATTGCTTGACACTTCGCGTAAATCACACTTCAAGGAAGTAGAAAAGTAGTTGGAATTTAAAAAAAAAAACTTTTATAGAATGGAAAAGGAATCAAAAGGAATATGGAATCGAAATTTTTTTTTTGGGGGGGGCGAAAATGGAAAAGAGAGGGAAGAAGAGAAATGGCAGAAATTGGGAAAACGCATGGAGGAACAAACCTGGCTCAATGAAGACAGAGGCGCCAAAATCCATGGCTTTCAAGGGAGAATTGGGTTGCCTTGTGGCCAACAAGAAATTTTCAGGCTTAAGGTCCCGATGCATCACCCCCATGAAATGACAAACGTGAACCACGTTGACGACTTGCCTGAATATGACGGCACCTTCGTCCTCGTAGTAAACCCCTCTAGCAATAATGCGATCAAAAAGCTCCCCGCCGGAACACAACTCCATAACCAAATGCACGTGATGCCAGTCCTCGTAAGCTCCCTTGAATTCCACTATGTTGGGCTGCCCCGTCAGGTGCTGCAGGATCATAATTTCCTTCTTCACATCGTCGATTCCCCTCCGGCTGCTCATCTTTCTCCTTGATATGGACTTACAAGCGTACTTGAGTCCGGTGAGCTTTTCGGTGCAGAGATAAGTGGTGCCGAATTGGCCCCTTCCTAACTCTTTGTCCAGAGTGTAGTGTGTTTTGATGTCAAAATACGGTTTGCCCAGAACGGGACTGAGTTGAGGGTGGGAGGAAGAGGGGGAGGGGGAGGGGGAGGCGGAGGGCGGGGCGGGATGAGGAGCATGTTGGTTTCTCTTTGGCAGCTGTTGGTAGTGACGATGGGCTGGCGAATCAGGGGAGGATTTGCTGAAGCATAACCCCATTTTTTAAAGAGATCGGGGGTGATGAAGAAGTTGGGAATGGAGGAGCATCTTGGGAAAGGCCGGGCCAATAGATTTACATGTTGGGGTTGAAAGTGCTGTGATCCTCTGCTCCTTTCAAGGGATGCCCTGCTTTGTCCCCCGCCACGCTTCTCCTCAGCATCATTCCCTTTTTGTTAGCATTACGCTTTGCTTTGCTTTGATGCTTTCGTTACTCCACCATGCGTTTCGCTCCCCTAAACGTGTTCTACTTCTCTCGTTTTATTCTACCCTCCTTGACGGTTACACAACCCAATGCCCTTTGGCCGGGCCCCACCAAAGAATATTCTATCCCATTTCTACCCGCCCCAAAGACTATGCCAATTAAGGGTCCGTTTGGATCGGGTGGAGAAGGCAGCTTATTTTTAATATGACTTTTAAAAAAGTAAGATCGGGTAAAAGTTAAATTAGATGAGGTAAATTGTATTTGGATTGGGGTTTAAAAAATTAATTTTAAAAATGAGATTGGTAGAAATTGTTTGAATTATAATTAAGTAAAAATAAATTTATTTGAGTAAAAGAAATGGGACTCACGCTTTGTCTTTCTCTCTTCACTTTTCCAACTCCATAAGCTGCAATTTTTAGTTTTTGGCTTAAGTGAATGATTTTGACATAAGCTCTTAATTTTTTTAAACTCTTTCAAATACGCTCAAACATATTAAAAGTTAAAAGCTACTTAAATGTGACTCCAAACAGGCACTAAGTATGTACTCAAACTCAATTTGACGTAATTTGGGCCTGGGCTCATCCATGCTACTGAAGTGAAAAATGAGAAGAAGGGGGAGCACAAACCGGGCTCGATGAAGACGGAGAGTCCAAAATCGGTGGCCTTCATGGGGGCGTCATCGTCCTGGCTGGTCATCAAGAAATTCTCGGGCTTCACGTCCCGATGCATCACTCCCATGAAATGGCACACGTGAACCACCGTCACGATCTGCCGGATCAGCGCCGCCGCTTCCTTCTCGGAATAATTCCCTTTGGCGATGATGCGATCAAACAGCTCCCCGCCGGTGCACAGTTCCATGACCAAGTACACGTTCTGCCTGTCCTCGTATGCGCCCCTGAATTCCACTATGTTTGGCTGCCCCGACAGATGCTGCAGTATCAGTATCTCTCTCCGCACGTCCTCTATCTCCTCCTTCCTCGTCAGCTTCCCCCTCGCTATGCTTTTGCACGCATACTTTCTCCCCGTCCTCTTCTCTGCGCACAGATAAGTCACCCCGCACTGCCCTCTCCCCAGTTCCTTCTCCAGCTCGTACATCATCCTTACGTCTACGTAGGGCCTTCCCAGCACCGGCCCGACCTGCGCTTGCGAAGTAGGTGCTGGTTTGACGTCGTGCAGATGATCCTCGTACGTCTGCTTGCGAGGGCGGCCGGGAGAGAAGTCCGAGGAGTCAATGGGAATTTCATGCTGAGAGTTGTTACAACAAAGCGCCTTGAAGAAACCAAGTCCCATGGCTCTCCCTCGACCTCTCGTAATTTGTTCACCTTAATATAGCTTGCTCATGACTTTCATTAATGGAGCTTATATATACAAACACACACACATTCATATTTAGGCAAATAAGGTGCATTTCTCGTTGGCTTTGATGAGAGGGTAGGGAGAACAACTTGGTGGCTTTGCGCTGAAGAAGAGATCCGATTCCATGAGTCCTCGCTGGGGATTGGTATGTGTGGCATGAGCAGCAAGACATGCATCTGATTCAAAATCGTCTGCACGCTTTGCATCTTCGCCATTTCTTATACAAAACCCCTCCATATCTCCTTTTCTTTTGGCTTTTTTCCTTGTACTTTCCTAATAAATAACCATAATGCCGTTGAGTCACATATATAATACATAATAATCGTTTTGATTTTACTGATGAGAGATAAAACTTCTCAAGATAAAAGTAAGTTATCACGTAATTCTCACCTAATTAAATGCATTAGTTAGCTATCATGCCATATTACTCTAATTGGAGCTTTGGAGTGACCTCAGTCAAGTTGAAAAAATTAGCAGAAAATGCCCCACTCATGACACGTGGGCCTCGCCTCTGAGGGACTTACTTTATTCCATAGTTGATATATCACTTTAACCCGCCTTGATTTTAAAATTAACTTATTAAATATGCTTTTTTTAATTACTTTTTTTTTCTTTTTGTAATAACATGGTTATATATTTAGTGAAAGAACGACATAAAAAAAAATGATATATATACATATACATATATGTTACATTCGTATTTTTCTCTATCTTCGTATGATTATTCAAATTCTTATGGCTAGACATGAACTGTATAACCGTGAATAATATATTTTATCTTTTGAAACAGCACAATGCATAAAAGAAATCATACACGTTCTAGATTTAAAAATCATTTTATAACTTCTTCATTCAATCACACACTCATTAATTAATAGCAAAAGTAGATAGCTGAGACTGATCGAGAAGTTTACATGACGCGCATGCACGCACTGAACAGAAACTCTCGCTAATTAATTAGTGAATAGCACATGCGTAGCCTTACAAGTTTGATCCCCCTAAATTCATCTATGTGGGAAAGTAAGTACATTCAGACGAGGCTAGAAAACTAAAGGATGGCACTCCGGTCAAGCAAACACTAGAGGAGAGACGTTAAACTGAGGTGACTGGGCTGAGGAGGAGGCTAGCGATCCACAGGCGTGACGCACTTTGGGTGCACTTCGTAGCCACATTGGAGGCACTGGTAGGCCCAGCTGGAGCCCTGTTCGTCGCAGACACAGCAAATGAAGGGGCCTCCGCCGTTGCCGTCGGATACGAGATTGAGATGGTGGCGATGGCCCTCGTGAGCGACCAACGTGGGAAGCCCCCTGGCCTCTTCCTCCATCTGTTTCTCCAGCGACTCCACCCGGGCACGGGTGAAGGGGTATGCATTCTCGCGGTACAAGTTGATGAGGCTCCTGCCGTGCCTGGTTATGGTCTTGCCATCAGGACCTATTATCACCAGGCATGGTATTCCCTGCACATCGAAGTGCCTCGCCAGCTTCTTCATCTCCGCATCCCCGTATGGCAGCGCCAACCACGGCATGCTTCCGAAATACGACTGGAAAGACGCCTCGTCTCTGTCGTTGGATATCAGCACGATCTCAAAGTCCTCCTCTCCTTTCTCCGCCAACACCTGCTTTATCTTTTCGTATATCCCTATGAGCTTGGGAGTGAACTTCTGCTCCGGCACGCACCACTGCGCTGAGAAGTACAGCCCTATTGTTTTACCCACCAACGATGCAACCGGTACCTGCATGTCCACGTACGCTACCTCACACCCATCAGCCTCCCGATTAAGCACCATGCCAATTGTGCTTGCCATCTAAACCTTACCACCAGTACTACCCAATTATGCTACTTATTTTTATTTTCATGTATGTACTATTTGTTTTGTTTGTTTAAGGTGAAATTACGTAGATAACATGCGGGCACGCTTTACACACACCCGTGCATATTCAATCCCGAGTCATCATTTCCATATATACATACATACATACATATATATCTGTAAATCAATCCAACGTCACGACAAGTATTTCTCAATACTAATTCAACTAATAAGTTCAAAAATAGTAAGGGTTGAAACTTTACTGTTCCTTGATCAATAAAATAATATTTGTGGCGAAATTAAACAATAACACGCAAATAACGAGCGCGCGCGCGCACACACATGTATATACACACACACATAGACAAATATCTGCGATATGATATGGGCAAGGTATGTATGCATAAATATGCATATGAATGATGAGATGTATACCTGCCGGGATCCTGGGTGGCCCAAAACATAGTCCCTATCGGGGCCGGTCAGTAAATTAGTCAAAGTCTGGTTTTCGTGCTTGTCCCTCTCTTCCTGATGAAGCTGCTCTAACCTTTCCTCAGTAAACGGATAGGCCTGCGCTCCAAATCGATAAATGACATTAACTCCATCACGCAAAGTTGCTTCCTCTTTAGCGTCGTGGGGTTGCAATATCACTAAACAAGGAACGCCTTCGACGTCGTACTTCCTATTCAACGCTTTCTTCGTTTCCAAATCAGAAAACGGAATTGCCAGCCATGGCATTTGGCCGTAAAAGATATCAAAGGCGTCCGTGTCTTCGTCAGAGGACACGTAGATAATCTCAAAGTCTGACGCATTCTTCTTCAGCTCCTCGTAAACGCCGACCAGCATTTGGGTGAATCTCCGGCACGGCGGATACCAGTTAGCGGCGAATAAGAGCCCCAGTACTTTTCCTTCAACATCAGAAACTTTCACCTGCGCACGCAATTTCCAACTAACCAGCAATCACGACGTACAATTCTTGTGTGTGTACTATACATATGTATATATATACCATATTCCATATACCTCAATTAGCTGATTCATCAATAAGATGCGTGTTACGAGATGTACGTTCTCCACTTTGGTATGTTAAAAGCGGAAGCACGCACGCACTCATAAGAGCATCGATACTTTTATGTTAGCTAGGTAGTTTCGTGTGAGTAGAGGGAAGGGGGGAATTGAGGTAGGACCACCCAAACTGGGTACAATTTTGTGGATTTTATAACAGTTAGAAATGTAACAAATTAATGAGCATTGTCATAGAATATATAAACCAAATGGAAATAGTACTCGAGGCTCAAATTAATCACACCGACAAAGGAGTAGTGCGAAAGGCTATAAAAGTACGAGTCCTAACAAGGAACCAAAATCATGAAAGGGATGGGGTCCCGAAGTGGAACACGTGTAACGCTAAAGGAATGATTTTAGGGACACTTGTCCCTTGGCTAGAGATATGCTCAGCTGTCTGCATATTATAAGTATATATTCCACGTTTTATAATATATAAGTTTACTTTAACCACCTTTCACCCCAAAATATTAGTTAAAAACTAGTTATAATATTAAACATGTAAAAAATTTGTAAAACTTTTTAAATATATATCTGCTTGGCAAAAAGTCGCCATTACATTAATTATAATATATTTAGTATTTATAAAATTATACAGAAGACAAAACAGGAAAACAAAAATTAAATGTCTTGGATCTATGAAACAAAATTTCGAAATCAAGTTAAACGAAAATAATTTATATAGCGAACAAAAGTGGGGGGGGGGGGAGGAAGAAGAAGCTACAAATATTGATTGGGCATGTGAATAGCTCGTGAGTGGTTAAACCACTCCGAAATCATCAAATCAAGCTAACACCACTACATATCACACCCCTACCTATGTATCTGCATCTCTTAAATACTTGATCGCCCTCTCTATCAGAAGAGGAAAATATAATGCTATGAACACCCTAAAAGACTATGTGCGAGCTTTAATTATTTATATAGGATATCCCCGTGATTCACTCTGATCATATGTAAACTCCTTTGACTGATCGCCGGGTAGCAGCCCCCATCTCAGTAAGAAAAAGATTTTGCACATAAATATAATACATAAAATATGGATATAATCCATATGATTATGAAGCTTATGGGTAGACCAATATCGTCAGCCTTTTGAGTTGAGCACCTAAATTCGCTGGAAGATATCAAGCCCATCATATATTGTTTCAAACCCTAGAAATCTCGAGTGGCCGGGAAGGAGCAATAAGAGACCTTGCCTCTTCTCCTAGAGCTACCTGTAATTCCAGACTCGGGTTGCGTGTAGTTAAAGAAGAGAAGGCGGCGAACGAACCATTTTCATAGAAAATATATGATGAAGTTCCGGTTTTCTCGATTATGATCAACGCTAAAGTACGAATAACTAGAGTTTCTCCAGCACAGAAATTGCAGATCCATGTATATAATAAGATTAACGCTAGTTGTGAGTGATCACAGCAGAACTCGATATCAAATACGGGGCAACGCAATAACCATCCACCACAGGACAAAATACCAAGAAAGGTAAAGGCTTTGGTTAAATTCCCAGCGAAAGTCGTGTGGTTTGTCAGCAAAATAGAAAAAGGCTGGGAGGGCCATTGGCGGGAGAAAGTTTTGGGAAAAGAGAAAGCCTCTGTGGGTGTGTGTGGGTGTGTGTGTGCTGCATCCATGTTGACCCATACAATCTGAATCAGGGATAGAGCCCAGACACCCCCTTGTACAGAAGAAGCTGAACCAAATGATAGAGACAGGAATATAAATTAAAAGATTCCATATTTTAACAGGCAGATGGAGAGAGAGAGCGCACCTGAGCGCGAGAGGGAGCGAGCAGAAAATCACGATGGTTGGAAGCAAGGAGGGAAGAGAATTGAGCGGAAGAACCATTAGTGAGCAGAGAAGGTTGAGATGATGCGTCCTTCATCTCCGTGGGGCTCATGAAGAGGGCAGAGGGCCGTGGCGTGGCTTTACCCTTCGTCTCCTTCCCTCGCACCATCCTGTCCTCGCAACCACATATTATTATGCATTCATTCATTCCGCAAATCATACCTCACTTTAAGGGTATAATTACCTGCTCCTCATCCACATGGAACATGATGCTGCCGCGCCCCTATCTTGTTGCCACGATACCGTCTTCCCTCAGGGGTCGCATAATGCCGGGTAAGAATAAGGAGAGCGATGGGGCCGCCTGTATGGCCCCAGGCCAACTCTCGCTGGCCTGTGCTCCACCAGAGTCCCACCCGATTAAGGTCCGTGCTGCTCTCGAACGCTTTGACATTTGATGTCACCTACGCAAATGCCGCTTCCTCGACACCTGTCCTCTTCTTGCTTCCTTGCTTTTATTATTTTATTTCCGTGCCACATCCTTTAGTTCCCCAACCCCAATTATTATTTTTGGGGCAATTCACAGTTTCACGCAAACGTGGTGCGCGACTGCTCTGCCTTTTTGGTAGAGAAATTATTGCATGTTAACTATGGTCCAAGTGTCAGGAAAGCAATACTCCATGAATAAGAAGAGAGAATGCATGCGCATTGAAAATATGAAACATGATTGTCCTCGTGTATAACATCTAATTAATTAATTTAATTAGATTAAAAATATTATTTAAATTAATTAATATGATATATTTTTTAAAATATCCTAAATATTTTTTAATTCTATTTCTCTTTTAACTGCTTAATTATTATTAAAACAATAGTAATAGAATTAATTTTAAAAAGTTAATAACTATATAAAATAAATCTTACATGTAAGATTAATATCGGTTTCGAGTACTATTTCATATATCTGGAGTATTCCCGTTCGTGATTGTCTCACTGTTTCCAATAATCTTTTCCTACAGCTGTACTTTAGCCAATAAAAGCATTCCGCATATAAAGAATGGTTGGGAAGTTAAGATAGTTTATTGGAGCGAAGCGAGTGTCCGTAGGTTAAAAAATCGTTAAAAAATATGAATTTAATTATATCATTGCCATGTTTAATACTGTTTCGGTTATTAATAAAGAACTTAATATATTTTATCTCTTATAATTATCTTTTCTTTAAGATAGTCTTTCTAATAATTATAATTTGAACTAATACATTTTAAAAAATATAATACTTGTTTATTATAAATAACTAACTTAACTCATTTTCTTAACATATTTAATTTAGTTAACTAACTTTTATATTTATCACAAAAGGTAATACTACTTTCTCTTTCCTCTCGTATCAAAATGTGCACGATGTCTGCTCCTTGTTAAAAACTCCCTGCATGTTTAATAAAAATATAAATAATTATGAAATTTCCCAACTAATTATCTCCCATACACGACAACTTCTTATTGAGGGTAATTTTGAGACTTCGTAAGAAAATACTACCTCTAGTCCTTAATACAAGACCTTGTTTGATTTTTATTTTGGTCCTAAATATAAGACCCCAGTCCATTTTATATCTTATATTTATATATATTTTTTCAAAGTAGCCCTTCTAATAATGATAATTCTAGTCAATACACTTGATTAGTAAGGATATTTTAGGAAAGACAACACCTATTTAGGACAAATAATCAACTCAACTTACTTCATTAATCTCCTCAAATTAGTCAACTAACTCTTATAATTAGGACCGGAGGTAGTAACTAATTTTGACTAATCTTATTTACTCGCGTAGATTAGTTAATTGGATTCTGAAGGGAGTACCGTGAATGGTCACCATGCTATTTCTCAATGGATATTTTGAAGTTATGAGTATCAAACTAATATATTTAATTAATTAGTAAGAATATTTTAAAAAAGATAATACATGTTTATTATAAAAAACAAACTTAACTCATTTTCTTAACCTATTTAAATTAATTAACCAGTTTTTATATTTAAAACAAGAGCTAATATTACTTTCCCTTTCCTCTCATATCAAAACGTGCTCGAGGTCTGCTCCTTATTAAAAACTCCCTGCATGTTTAATAAAAATATAAATAATTATGAAATTTCCCAACTAATTAATCAATCTCCCGTACACGACAACTTCTTATTGGGGGTAATTTTGAGACTTCGTAAGAAGATAGCCAGTTTTGACTCATCTTATTTACTCGCGTAGATTAGGTAATTGGAGTCTGAAGGGAGTGCCGTGAATGGTCACCATACTATTTCTCAGTGGATATTTTGAAGTTATGAGTATCACGTCATTCAGAGATAAATTATTAAATTAAAACGAGAGAGTAAAATTGAAAATTTTAAGTGAACGATCCATTAAAAAATGCTCTATTCAACATATATGATTGTCTTGATATTATGAATTACTCATAATACTATTTATAAAACAGAGAGAAGACTTTTTTTCTAGTAAGGTAGTAAGAGAAATTTTTTATATGGATGTATAATTTTATCCTTAATTTATTACTATGTTGGTTTTGTTTATAAGATGTATAATATGCATTAAATAAGAATAACTTTTGAATGTTGTTGGATTTTAAAGAAAGATCAATGAAGTTTAAAATTTTTTTTATCTATATAAAATATATTAGAAGTGGCTTAGTATTATTAAATATGAAGTGAATATTTAAATTTTGATGTAAGGACTGATATATATTAAATAATTATATTTAGGTGGCAATACGTATGGCGTCCATATACGCATGGTTTGCCATCTTTGCATGACATTCACTAATCCAGACAAGATGTGAATGGATTGGAGCTGCATATCGACGGTAACGACGTGCAGAAGCTTACATGATCAATTTAATCTTTAATATAATCACTATATAAAGAAAATACACGCTCAGTAAAAGAACAGGAATGAATCCTATTTTTAATTAGATCAACATAAACGTTCTAACTAAATGAATTAAAACTCTTTTTTCTTCGAAAATATTTAATATTCTATTGATTTTTTTAAGTCATATGCAATGCGATTATTTAATTAAGTGACATCTCGTAAAATTTAATTGTGAAAATACTTAGTTTATTGTATATATGTTATTCAATGGGGAAAAAAATGATTCATGAAATTAAACCTAAGGGAACATTTATCGGATGCGGATCTATTGACGAGCGGAGGGAAACGGAGAGGATTCGGAATTTTAGATAATTGATCTATGCTTCCAGGTGGTTGTCCCGTTATTAGGGGAAACAAATGGTCTTCAACGAAATGGATGCATCTTGAGGAGTACAAGGTCTAAGACACTACCTGTACGGGTACATCTTGAGATCAATAGGAAAATAGGTATGCAATCAATGCACGCGTCTCCATTCCTGTTCTTTACTCTTAATCAAGTGGGGAGTATGGTGGTTTCAAAAGCTGAAGGATTAAGTCGCATGCTTTACATTGATATTGATGTCCAATCGATAAATCAATAATCAGTAAATAGTAAATACTCCTCCGGTCCTAATTATAAGATCCAATTGACTTATTTGAGGAGATTAAGGAAGTAAGTTAAGTTGGTTATTTATAATAAATAAGTGTTGTCATTCCTAAAATATCCTTGCTAATTAAGTATATTGGCTAAAACTATCATTATTAGAAGGATTATCTTGAAAAAAAATGCATAAATATAAGAGACAAAATGGATTGGGGTCTTATAATTAGGACCAAATAAAAAGTCAAATAGGGTCTTATAATAAGGACTGGAGGAGGAGATTATAGGAAATAAGTACTGGCAGATTATTTTAATTTTATGTAATATACTTAACGATATGTATTGCTTTCAAAACTTTACATGAAAGATGAAAACCTAACCAGCAGGGTAGGGGGTCAGTAGTTTGGACATTGCACAGTTAATAATATACTCCCTCTGGTCCTTTTTATAGTTAGAGAAATCCTACATGTTACAATTAGTTATTTCTGGTAAAATGTTAAAAACATCCTTAATAAATATCTTTAGTTAAAGGAATTTAGTTGCTTAAGGGGGGGTTTTGGATTAGTTTTTTTTAGAAATGATTTTACGGTGTTTAAAGTATGTATGTGAAAAGAGTTTTGTCTCGACTTATATGAAAGTAGTTTTTTTTTTTAATGCTTTTAAGGGGTTATAAAGAAGTTTCATAGTTAGGAATATTAGATGAAAAAAATACTTACGACAAAATATGCATGCAACAGTTCTTTAATAGGTACCGAAGGGAGTATTGATATGATTAAATTAGGTCTCATGCGTTTGCAAGTGGTGCAAAATAGATTAGACGGCATTATACATAGTTAATGAACAAAGAATCTCGTCACACTTTTTTTGGGGGGGGGGGGTTTGAAAAGCTCGTCACACTTTTTATATCTAGTATTGAGACATTAATTATGTGACATAAGTCTTCCGTGTTAGTTCCCCTTTTCTTTTTCTCACTTGGTAATTTCTTATTGCAGGATTCACGTATATTCCTTGCTAGACTGCCTAGTGACATTTTTGTCTTCTGAGGTGCCTCCGTATTCTTTTTCCCCTGTACAGAACAATAATGCTTGGTGATTTGTGTGGCGAGCATGATCTTAGCGTTGCTTTTTTCAGCACCAGGTTTGCCAGGTGTTTTTGATTGTTGAACAAACTGAAAAGCAATACATTGTTGTCATTTTCCTTTCTATCGCACGTTATTTTTATCTTTGAACATAAGATATACTCTTCCGGTCCTAAATATAAGATCCATTTTGTAGTACAATTTACATTACAAAGTGGGTCATATATTTAGGATCGGAGGAGTAATTACATTTAAATGCCAACAAGCATGCTAAATGAATTATAAAATCCAAAACTAACCAGTCAACGTTTTTTTTTTAAATTTTTGTGCATACCTAGAATATAAATATCTTATGAGTTTGTAGGAACTGGGAAAGGAAGAAGGAAGATTGTCACACAAGTCTAATTTTTAAAAAACCGGAATGATATTAGAGGATAGAGAAAGGAAAATTAATTAAAAACTTTCAATCTCATTGCTTTTTTTTTTTTTCCCAAATAGTACTTGTTAAAATTTCTAATCCCCTCCTTTTATTACACTCAAACGGTCAAACAAAACAATAGGTCAATTAATATATTTTTTTTCTGTGGGGTAGAAGTTATTTTAAGAACTTATTATATTTTATAATTTGCTGCTTTATGCATGCTAAAAAATAAACAATAATTTAATTTTTGCTGCAATTTATTATTATATGCATATTGAAAATATAAGCAATAAATTATTTTATTCAGAATTTATTATTCTGTAAAAATTAAAATTTAAAACAATAAAAATTGTTTACCTTTACAACTCAGAGAGAATGATAAACAAGAAAACTAAAAATTACTAAATCTTAAATCAGATTTATTAACAATTTATTTGGTGTTGACAATATAAAATTTACAAATAATAGTAAATTTTTGTTAACATTTCTCATTTGGTATTTACTAATTTTTAGCTTTTTTTATTATTATTATTTTTCTACAATTTATATAAATTAAATTTGTAATTTCAGCGCGAGGCCATATCCGCTGTTTTATTACAGGCCTCATTAATTATACATTTGTCAATTGTGAAACTCATGCAGTTTTTCCCCGTCAAACGGCCTCATATTTTCCCAACCTGATTTAAATCTTTTGGAAAGCAAGTAGTAAAGACCTCTTCCCGTAAAAATAGATATTCCTTCCCCTTAAAATAAAAAGAAAGAAAGATATTCCCTTAATTAGCAGGCAGCGCTGAAGAAGACGCTATAGATAGCTGGCCTAAATGCTAATCAATCAATCTGTTGATGGTTTATTGAGCCTAAACCCTAAATCGTCTTATGATGATTTAACTCAAAGCAGTCAGTAATACGATCAACGGATGCAAGGGATCAGGGAGATCATAACCCACTATAGAGGAAAGTACAATTAAAATCATGTCATTATTAATTACGTTATACAATAAAGGCAACCTTTCGCTGAGTTTGAGGCAACATCAGTATGGTCAAAAAACAAAGGCCAAAACGTGTTAGATTTCTTCCAACGAAACGGATGCTAGAAAGTTCACAGGTGACATCAGAGTAAGGTGATAATTCCCTAATCCCTTTTCTTTATAAACATAATTGCAATTAAAATTCTGCAATTGCATTATACATTATTTTAATTAGTTTTATTACTATATTTAAACACTAATAAGATTTAATTTTATTTTTTGAATTAAATCAAAACACTTTAATTTGAGAGATTATGACAGGAAATGAGATTTGTTCACCCCTTTTTTAAATCTTTCCCCAGGCTTAAAAGAAATTTACAAATTTCTAATTTCAAAACATCAGGATCTGAAAAAATCCCACCCAAGTTTTTATTATTTGCTTCCTCTTAAATTTTGTCGATGGCCCTCAACATTTGCTCTGACAGTCTGACTAGAGGGAAATCAGGCTTATTTACCAATAACTAATGTTAAGTGAATGTGTCCCATTAATGCAGGGGGTGGATATTAAACAGAGAGATAAATATAAATTGGCAGCGTAACAAATTGCTAAGCATACAAGAAAGCAGTGACGCCGTTAAGTTTATTCAAAGCACGAGAGAATAGTGATAGAAGCAATTGAGAGTGGAAATGGCAGCACATAGCAATCAAAATCCATAATGCCTTTGGCTTATTATCACGTTGGATACATTATTTCATTCTCACACACTCGTCTCATCCCGCGTTCTTCATCATAGCCACAAACTCCTCGTAATTGATCCTGCCATCCTGCACCCAGAAATGGGGACTCGTCATCAATCAAATCTTGCAACATATAATATAATTCACAAACCAACACCATTCAACTTACTTTATCAGTGTCCACATCGTCGATCACTTCATCTATCGTGGCTTCATCCCCCATTCCGTATTCAGTCAATGCCTGCCTAAGCTCCTCTCTCGTGATATATCTGATCAATATCCACCCAAGTAAGAAACAACTTCACTCAGCAACAGACTAACATAATAACTTGTTTATTTATGATTCTGATTCAAGTTACAGTCTTGCACTATAATTTCCCAGAATAAACAGTTTCGGGTGATCAATTTCATTATATGCATTCCCATGTATACTAACCCACTGTTATCCTTGTCGAAGTATTGGAAAGCCTTGAACAAGTTCTCTTCCTTCTCAGTCTGTGCCGATGCATGGTGGCAGTTATGAATTCATAATAATCAATAGTTCCATTCTTGTCAACATCAGCCTGAAGACACCCAACCACCAACAATATTCATCATTCAATTTTTCTGTTCTTACGGCATTCGAAGAGGCTCAAAATTCTCATCAATTAAATAACTTGGTTCACAACCCCCCCCAAAAAAAAAATCCACTGGTATTGAACTTACAGCATCCATCAACTGCCGTATTTCAGATTCGTTAAGTTTGGATCCCAATTTGGACAATCCAGCTCTGAGTTCTTCAAGTGTGATCGTGCCACTGTTATCTGTATCCATATTGTGGAACATTTGTTTCAAGCCCTTGATTTCTTCCTCTGATAGGTTTTGTGCTATTACCTTCCAAAAATCCAACCTTCGGTTACTAAGGGTAAAAGAGGCAAGTACCAAGTAAAATAAAATGACTTTGCATGACACGATGTCCAAATGTTCCACGAATCAAACAGAAATTCTGTGGAACATGGACATGCATTCTTTCCGGTAGCATTGAAATTCAGGCCTTTTTCTTAAGCACTAACAGGAATTAGACCATAACTTCAAATCCAGAAAGAAACTCCCTATAATTCACAGACAAACAAAAGGCTGGAGCCTGGAAGTTACCTTCAGGGCAAGTTTCTTCATTTTGTTCATTGCTCTGAACTGTTTCATCCTAATTAAAACGGCACTGTCTATAGGCTTATCAGATGCTTGACCACCCACTTTCATCCATGGATGTTCTGTTTCAAATGCATAACAATATTTATAATTTTTCTGTAATGAAAAACCGGTTTACATACTAAACATGACAAGTTATTTGTTGGAATCTACATAATAACGGAAGAGTTATGCGTTTAAACTCAACTACATACTCACCAAGGGCATCAGCGGCTGTGATGCGTTTCTTGGGATCATATGCCAACATTTTTCTGATCAAATCCTTGGCAGAAGCTGAAATAGAAGGCCATGGTTGGCTTTCAAGATCCGGTTTGCCTTCCAGAATAGCATTAAATATGCCTTTCTCGTTCTCTGGAAATTTTTGACCCATTATGTCAATAAAACGAAGATATAAATATGGACACAACAAATGTGGAGGGAACAAGAGAGTGGAAGAGATATTGCATAATTGCAGAGTACAGTTGAACAAGAACAGAGGCAGGCATTATATCCTTACCAGCCCAAAACGGAGGCACCCCACTAAGGAGGATGTATAAAATGACTCCTGCACTCCACACATCTATCTCTTTTCCATAATTCCGTCTTAGAACCTCCGGGGCCACATAGTACGAACTTCCCACGACTTCCTTATACTCTTTACCTGCATCAAATCTTATTATTATTGTTACTACACTTCATAAGAATGTATTGATAAAAACTTGCTGGGAAAGAAACGAATTGAAATTGATAACGATAACGATGCTTGCTCTATCGAACGCTTTTCTGAGGCATTTTGCATCAAGTGCAGAAATCGCTCATCCCAGAACGTCCTAGATAACATGCTAACCTTGCTTGTTTCCCAAGGTTATTGATCGTGTTGCATATTTCCCAATAGTCATATTGTGGGTATGGCCCCAGAAAATAACCAGTGAGCATGATGGTCCCACTAATCTGTGGGCTTCAGATCTGCCCTCTGCTTTCCCCACTAAATGTGAACCAGTTTACTCCGTTTACTTGTCACTGTCCGACTTTCGCACAGAAGATCGTTTACTCGGTTGACTTCTCGTTTCACTTTTTAATCGACGACTTGGTCAATCACTCATCCTGTCGCCCGGTCCTTGAAATTTACTCGGTTAAATTCCACTCTATTATGCCTGACTCATATTATCTTCTCTTTATGTTCTAAAGACATGCACTTTATACACAGACTTTGTTTAAAAATATAAGAGCAGCAGTCTTATAATTATTGTATCATTATTCATATAAATAGAGTATAGCATAACTATCTACTATGTACATATTCACTCTCCGCTTATGAAAATAACTAATTTTATAAATCCACTATCAAAATAGAAGATTAAAAAAAATATAATTTTTCAAAAGAACACGTCTTTTTTATAAAGAAAAATTAACATTATTCTTAATATTATTTTCATCATATTATATAAATTCAAGACTCAAGAGATTGTTATGCTCCATGCATGCGGAAGGAAGATGGAGATGGATCATGGAAACAAAAAATATATCCAGAAAATCCTCCAAACAGCCCCGCCCTTTTTTAAGTTGGGAAAAAAAAAATTCCCCTTCTCCGGAAATATTGTTCATCAGCGGACAGTATAAAGGCTGCCTCAGTCAATGTTGTTATTGCTTGACACTTTGCGTAAATCACACTTCAAGGAAGTAGAAAAGTAGTTGGAATTTAAAAAAAAAAACTTTTATAGAATGGAAAAGGAATCAAAAGGAATATGGAATCGAAAATTTTTTTGGGGGGCGAAAATGGAAAAGAGAGGGAAGAAGAGAAATGGCAGAAATTGGGAAAACGCATGGAGGAACAAACCTGGCTCAATGAAGACAGAGGCGCCAAAATTCATGGCTTTCAAGGGAGAATTGGGTTGCCTTGTGGCCAACAAGAAATTTTCGGGCTTAAGGTCCCGATGCATCACCCCCATGAAATGACAAACGTGAACCACGTTGACGACTTGCCTGAATATGACGGCAGCTTCGTCCTCGCAGTAAACCCCTCTGGCAATAATGCGATCAAAAAGCTCCCCGCCGGAACACAACTCCATAACCAAATGCACGTGATGCCAGTCCTCGTAAGCTCCCTTGAATTCCACTATGTTAGGCTGCCCCGTCAGGTGCTGCAGGATCATAATTTCCTTCTTCACATCGTCGATTCCCCTCCGGCTGCTCATCTTTCTCCTTGATATGGACTTACAAGCGTACTTGAGTCCGGTGAGCTTTTCGGTGCAGAGATAAGTGGTGCCGAATTGGCCCCTTCCTAACTCTTTGTCCAGAGTGTAGTGTGTTTTGATGTCAAAATACGGTTTGCCCAGAACGGGACCGAGTTGAGGGTGGGAGGAAGAGGAAGAGGGGGAGGGGGAGGCGGAGGGCGGGGCGGGATGAGGAGGATGTTGGTTTCTCTTTGGCAGTTGTTGGTAGTGACGATGGGCTGGCGAATCAGGGGAGGATTTGCTGAAGCATAACCCCATTTTTTAAAGAGATCGGGGGTGATGAAGAAGTTGGGAATGGAGGAGCATCTCGGTAAAGGCCGGGCCAATAGATTTACATGTGGGGATGAAAGTGCTGTGATCCTCTGCTCCTTTCAAGGGATGCCCTGCTTTGTCCCCCGCCACGCTTCTCCTCAGCATCATTCCCTTTTTGTTAGCACTACGCTTTGCTTTGCTTTGATGCTTTCGTTACTCCACCATGCGTTTCGCTCCCCTAAACGTGTTCTACTTCTCTCGTTTTATTCTACCCTCCTTGACGGTTACACAACCCAATGCCCTTCGGCCGGGCCCCACCGAAGAATATTCTATCCCATTTCTACCCGCCCCAAAGACTATGCCAATTAAGGGTCCGTTTGGATTGGGTGGAAAAGGCAGCTTATTTTTAATATGACTTTTAGAAAAGTAAGATCAAGTAAAAGTTAAATTAGATGAGGTAGATTGTATTTAGATTGGGGTTTAAAAAAGTTAATTTATAAAAATGAAATTGGTAGAAAGTTGTTTGAATTATAATTAAGTAAAAGTAAGTTTGTTTGAGTAAAAGAAATGGGACTCACGCTTTGTCTTTTTCTCTTCACTTTTTCAACTCTATAAGCTGTAATTTTTAGTTTTTGGCTTAAGTGTATGATTTTGACATAAGCTCTTAATTTTTTTAAACTCTATACACTCAAACATATTAAAAGTTAAAAGCGACGTAAAAGCTACTTAAATGTGACTCCAAACAGGCACTAAGTATGTACTCAAACTCAATTTGACGTAATTTGGGCCTGGGCTCATCCATACTACGGAAGTGAAAAATGAGAAGAAGGGGGAGCACAAACCGGGCTCGATGAAGACGGAGAGTCCAAAACCGGTGGCCTTCATGGGGGCGTGATCGTCCTGGCTGGTCATCAAGAAATTCTCGGGCTTCAAGTCCCGATGCATCACTCCCATGAAATGGCACACGTGAACCACCGTCACGATCTGCCGGATCAGCGCCGCCGCTTCCTTCTCGGAATAATTCCCTTTGGCGATGATGCGATCAAACAGGTCCCCGCCGGTGCACAGTTCCATGACCAAGTACACGTTCTGCCTGTCCTCGTATGCGCCCCTGAATTCCACTATGTTTGGCTGCCCCGACAGATGCTGCAGTATCAGTATTCTCTCTCCGCACGTCCTCTATCTTCCTCCTTCCTCGTCAGCTTCCCCTCGCTATGCTTTTGCACGCATACTTTCTCCCCGTCCTCTTCTCTGTGCACAGATAAGTCACCCCGGACTGCCCTCTCCCCAGTTCCTTCTCCAGCTCGTACATCATCCTTACGTCTACGTAGGGCCTTCCCAGCACCGGCCCGACCTGCGCTTGCGAAGTAGGTGCTGGTTTGACGTCGTGCAGATGATCCTCGTACGTCTGCTTGCGAGGGCGGCCAGGAGAGAAGTCCGAGGAGTCAATGGGAATTTCATGCTGAGAGTTACAACAAAGCGCCTTGAAGAAACCAAGTCCCATGGCTCTCCCTCGACCTCTCGTAATTTGTTCACCTTAATATAGCTTGCTTGACTTTCATCAATGGAGCTTATATATAAACACACACACACATGCATATTTAGGCAAATAAGGTGCATTTCTCGTTGGCTTTGATGAGAGGGTAGGGAGAACAACTTGGTGGCTTTGCGCTGAAGAAGAGATCCGATTCCATGAGTCCTCGCTGGGGATTGGTATGTGTGGCATGAGCAGCAAGACATGTATCTGATTCAAAATCGTCTGCACGCTTTGCATCTTCGCCATTTCTTATACAAAACCCCTCCATATCTCCTTTTCTTTTGGCTTTTTTCCTTGTACTTTCCTAATAAATAACCATAATGCCGTTGAGTCACATATATAATACATAATAATCGTTTTGATTTTACTGATGAGAGATAAAACTTCTCAAGATAAAAGTAAGTTATCACGTAATTCTCACCTAATTAAATGCATTAGTTAGCTATCATGCCATATTACTCTAATTGGAGCTTTGGAGTGACCTCAGTCAAGTTGAAAAAATTAGCAGAAAATGCCCCACTCATGACACGTGGGCCTCGCCTCTGAGGGACTTACTTTATTCCATAGTTGATATATCACTTTAACCCGCCTTGATTTTAAAATTAACTTATTAAATATGCTTTTTTTAATTTTTTTTTTCTTTTTGTAATAACATGGTTATATATTTAGTGAAAGAACGACATAAAAAAAATGATATATATACATATACATATGTTACATTCGTATTTTTCTCTATCTTCGTATGATTATTCAAATTCTTATGGCTAGACATGAACTGTATAACCGTGAATAATATATTTTATCTTTTGAAACAGCACAATGCATAAAAGAAATCATACACGTTCTAGATTTAAAAATCATTTTATAACTTCTTCATTCAATCACACACTCATTAATTAATAGCAAAAGTAGATAGCTGAGACTGATCGAGAAGTTTACATGACGCGCATGCACTGAACAGAAACTCTCGCTAATTAATTAGTGAATAGCACATGCGTAGCCTTACAGTTTGATCCCCCTAAATTCATCTATGTGGGAAAGTAAGTACATTCAGACGAGGCTAGAAAACTAAAGGATGGCACTCCGGTCAAGCAAACACTAGAGGAGAGACGTTAAACTGAGGTGACTGGGCTGAGGAGGAGGCTAGCGATCCACAGGCGTGACGCACTTTGGGTGCACTTCGTAGCCACATTGGAGGCACTGGTAGGCCCAGCTGGAGCCCTGTTCGTCGCAGACACAGCAAATGAAGGGGCCTCCGCCGTTGCCGTCGGATACGAGATTGAGATGGTGGCGATGGCCCTCGTGAGCGACCAACGTGGGAAGCCCCCTGGCCTCTTCCTCCATCTGTTTCTCCAGCGACTCCACCCGGGCACGGGTGAAGGGGTATGCATTCTCGCGGTACAAGTTGATGAGGCTCCTGCCGTGTCTGGTTATGGTCTTGCCATCAGGACCTATTATCACCAGGCATGGTATTCCCTGCACATCGAAGTGCCTCGCCAGCTTCTTCATCTCCGCATCCCCGTATGGCAGCGCCAACCACGGCATGCTTCCGAAATACGACTGGAAAGACGCCTCGTCTCTGTCGTTGGATATCAGCACGATCTCAAAGTCCTCCTCTCCTTTCTCCGCCAACACCTGCTTTATCTTTTCGTATATCCCTATGAGTTTGGGAGTGAACTTCTGCTCCGGCACGCACCACTGCGCTGAGAAGTACAGCCCTGTTGTTTTACCCACCAACGATGCAACCGGTACCTGCATGTCCACGTACGCTACCTCACACCCATCAGCCTCACAATTAAGCACCATGCCAATTGTGCTTGCCATCTAAACCTTACCACGTAGATAACATGCAGGCACGCTTTACACACACCCGTGCATGTTCAATCCCGAGTCATCATTCCCCCCCCCCCCCCCACACACACACACACACATATCTGTAAATCAGTCCAACATCATGACAAGTATTTCTTAATACTGATTCAACGTATAATTTCTGCGATATGATATGGGCACACACATGTACACACACACACAGATAAATATCTGCGATATGATATGGGCAAGATATGTATACCTGCCGGGATCCTGGGTGGCCCAAAACACAGTCCCTACCGGGGCCGGTCAGTAAATTAGTCAAAGTCTGGTTTTCGTGCTTGTCCCTCTCTTCCTGATGAAGCTGCTCTAGCCTTTCCTTGGTAAACGGATAGGCCTGCGCTCCAAATCGATAAATGACATTAACTCCATCACGCAAAGTTGCTTCCTCTTTAGCGTCGTGGGGTTGCAATATCACTAAACAAGGAACGCCTTCGACGTCGTACTTCCTATTCAGCGCTTTCTTTGTTTCCAAATCAGAAAACGGAATTGCCAGCCATGGCATTTGGCCGTAAAAGATATCAAAGGCGTCCGTGTCTTCGTCAGAGGACACGTAGATAATCTCAAACTCTGACGCATTCTTCTTCAGCTCCTCGTAAACGCCGACCAGCATTTGGGTGAATCTCCGGCACGGCGGATACCAGTTAGCGGCGAATAAGAGCCCCAGTATTTTTCCTTCAACATCAGAAACTTTCACCTGCGCACGCAATTTCCAACTAATCAGCAATCACGACGTACAATTCTTGTGTGTGTACTATACATATGTATATATATATATACCATATTCCATATACCTCAATTAGCTGATTCATCAATAAGATGCGTGTTACGAGATGTACGTTCTCCACTTTGGTATGTTAAAAGCGGAAGCACGCACGCACTCATAAGAGCATCGATACTTTTATGTTAGCTAGGTAGTTTCGTGTGAGTAGAGGGAAGGGGGGAATGAGGTAGGACCACCCAAACTGGGTACAATTTTGTGGATTTTATAACAGTTAGAAATGTAACAAATTAATGAGCATTGTCATAGAATATATAAACCAAATGGAAATAGTACTCGAGGCTCAAATTAATCACACCGACAAAGGAGTAGTGCGAAAGGCTATAAAAGTACGAGTCCTAACAAGGAACCAAAATCATGAAAGGGATGGGGTCCCGAAGTGGAACACGTGTAACGCTCAAGGAATGATTTTAGGGACACTTGTCCCTTGGCTAGAGATATGCTCAGCTGTCTACATATTATATATTCCCCGTTTTATAATATACAAGTTTACTTTAACCACCTTTCATCCCAAAATATCAGTTAAAAACTAGTTATAATATTAAACATGTAAAAAATTTGTAAAACTTTTTAAATATATATCTGCTTGGCAAAAAGTCGCCATTACATTAATTATAATATATTTAGTATTTATAAAATTATACAGAAGACAAAACAGGAAAACAAAATTAAATGTCTTGGATCTATGAAACAAAATTTCGAAATCAAGTAAACGAAAATAATTTATATAGCGAACAAAGGGGGGGGGGGGAGGAAGAAGAAGCTACAAATATTGATTGGGCATGTGAATAGCTCGTGAGTGGTTAAACCACTCCGAAATCATCAAATCAAGCTAACACCACTACATATCACACTCCTACCTATGTATCTGCATCTCTTAAATACTTGATCGCCCTCTCTATCAGAAGAGGAAAATATAATGCTATGAACACCCTAAAAGACTATGTGCGAGCTTTAATTATTTATATAGGATATCCCCGTGGTTCTGGATGGTCGCCCGGGTAGCAGCCCCCATGTCGATCAGTAAGAAAAAGACTTTGCACATAAATATAATACATAAAATATGGATATAATCCGTATGATTATGAAGCTTATGGGTAGACCATCCAATATCGTCAGCCTTTTGAGTTGAGCACCTAAATTCGCCGGAAAATATCAAGCCCATCATATATTGTTTCGAACCCTAGAAATCTCGAGTGGCCGGGAAGTAGCGATAAGAGACCTTGCCTCTTCTCCTAGAGCTACCTGTAATTCCAGACTCGGGTTGCGTGTCGTTAAAGAAGAGAAGGCGGCAGACGAACCATTTTCATGAAAATATATGATGAAGTTCCGGTTTTCTCGATTATGATCAACGCTAAAAGTACGAATAACTAGAGTTTCTCCAGCACAGAAATTGCAGATCCATGTATATAATAAGATTAACGCTAGTTGTAAGTGATCACAGCAGAACTCGATATCAAATACGGGGCAACGCAATAACCATCCCCCACAGGACAAAATACCAAGAAAGGTAAAGGCTTTGGTTAAATTCCCAGCGAAAGTCGTGTGGTTTATGCATTCATTCATTCCGCAAATCATACCTCACTTTAAGGGTATAATTACCTGCTCCTCATCCACATGGAACATGATGCTGCCGCGCCCCTATCTTGTTGCCACGATACCGTCTTCCCTCAGGGGTCGCATAATGCCGGGTAAGAATAAGGAGAGCGATGGGGCCGCCTGTATGGCCCCAGGCCAACTCTCGCTGGCCTGTGCTCCACCAGAGTCCCACCCGATTAAGGTCCGTGCTGCTCTCGAACGCTTTGACATTTGATGTCACCTACGCAAATGCCGCTTCCTCGACACCTGTCCTCTTCTTGCTTCCTTGCTTTTATTATTTTATTTCCGTGCCACATCCTTTAGTTCCCCAACCCCAATTATTATTTTTGGGGCAATTCACAGTTTCACGCAAACGTGGTGCGCGACTGCTCTGCCTTTTTGGTAGAGAAATTATTGCATGTTAACTATGGTCCAAGTGTCAGGAAAGCAATACTCCATGAATAAGAAGAGAGAATGCATGCGCATTGAAAATATGAAACATGATTGTCCTCGTGTATAACATCTAATTAATTAATTTAATTAGATTAAAAATATTATTTAAATTAATTAATATGATATTTTTTAAAATATCCTAAATATTTTTTAATTCTATTTCTCTTTTAACTGCTTAATTATTATTAAAACAATAGTAATAGAATTAATTTTAAAAAGTTAATAACTATATAAAATAAATCTTACATGTAAGATTAATATCGGTTTCGAGTACTATTTCATATATCTGGAGTATTCCCGTTCGTGATTGTCTCACTGTTTCCAATAATCTTTTCCTACAGCTGTACTTTAGCCAATAAAAGCATTCCGCATATAAAGAATGGTTGGGAAGTTAAGATAGTTTATTGGAGCGAAGCGAGTGTCCGTAGGTTAAAAAATCGTTAAAAAATATGAATTAATTATATCATTGCCATGTTTAATACTGTTTCGGTTATTAATAAAGAACTTAATATATTTTATCTCTTATAATTATCTTTTCTTTAAGATAGTCTTTCTAATAATTATAATTTGAACTAATATATTTAATTAATTAGTAAGGATATTTAAAAAGATAATACTCCTCCGGTCCTTATTATAAGATCCAATTTGACTTTTTATTTGGTCCTAATTATAAGACCCAATCCATTTTTCTCTTATATTTATGTATTTTTTTCCAAGATAATCCTTCTAATAATGATAGTTTTAGCCAATATACTTAATTAGCAAGGATATTTTAGGAATAACAACACTTATTTATTTATTATAAATAACCAACTTAACTTACTTCCTTAATCTCCTCAAATAAATCAATTGGGTCTTATAATTAGGACCGGAGAGTACCTGTTTATTATAAATAAACTAACTTAATTCATTTTCTTAACATATTTAATTTAGTTAACTAACTTCTATATTTATCACAAAAGGTAGTACTACTTTCTCTTTCCTCTCGTATCAAAATGTGCACGATGTCTGCTCCTTATTAAAAACTCCCTGCATGTTTAATAAAAATATAAATAATTATGAAATTTCCCAACTAATTAACCAATCTCCCATACACGACAACTTCTTATTGAGGGTAATTTTGAGACTTCGTAAGAAAATACTACCTCTAGTCTTTAATATAAGATCTTGTTTGACTTTTATTTTGGTCCTAAATATAAGACCCTAGTCTACTTTGTCTCATATATTTATTTTTTTTTCAAAGTAGCCCTTCTAATAATGAAAATTCTAGTCAATACACTTGATTAGTAAGGATATTTTAGGAAAGACAACACCTATTTAGGACAAATAACTAACTCAACTTACTTCATTAATCTCCTCAAATTAGTCAACTAACTCTTATAATTAGGACCGGAGGTAGTAACTAATTTTGACTAATCTTATTTACTCGCGTAGATTAGTTAATTGGATTCTGAAGGGAGTACCGTGAATGGTCACCATGCTATTTCTCAATGGATATTTTGAAGTTATGAGTATCAAACTAATATATTTAATTAATTAGTAAGGATATTTTAAAAAAGATAATACCTGTTTATTATAAAAAAACAAACTTAACTCGTTTTCTTAACTTATTTAAATTAATTAACTAGTTCTTATATTTAAAACAGGAGCTAATATTACTTTCTCTTTCCTCTCATATCAAAATGTGCTCGAGGTCTGCTCCTTATTAAAAACTCCCTGCATGTTTAATAAAAATATAAATAATTATGAAATTTCCCAACTAATTAATCAATCTCCCATACACGACAACTTCTTATTGGGGGTAATTTTGAGACTTCGTAAGAAGATAACTAGTTTTGACTCATCTTATTTACTCGCGTAGATTAGGTAATTGGAGTCTGAAGGGAGTGCCGTGAATGGTCACCATACTATTTCTCAGTGGATATTTTGAAGTTATGAGTATCACGTCATTCAAAGATAAATTATTAAATTAAAACGAGAGAGTAAAATTGAAAATTTTAAGTGAACGATCCATTAAAAAATGCTCTATTCAACATATATGATTGTCTTGATATTATGAATTACTCATGATACTATTTATAAAAGAGAGAGAAGACTTTTTTTCTAGTAGGATAGTAAGAGAAATTTTTTATATGGATGTATAATTTTATCCTTAATTTATTATTATGTTGGTTTTGTTTACAAAATGTATAATATGTATTAAATAAGAATAACTTTTGAATGTTGTTGAATTTTAAAGAAAGATCAATGAAGTTTAAAATTTTTTTTATCTATATGAAATATGTTGAAAGTGGCTTAGTATTATTAAATATGAAGTCAATATTTAAATTTTGATGTAAGGACTGATATATATTAAATAATTATATTCAGGTGGCAATACGTATGGCGTCCATATACACATGGTTTGCCATCTTTGCATGACATTCACTAATCTAGACAAGATGTGAATGGATTGGAGCTGCATATCGACGGTAACGACGTGCAGAAGCTTACACGATCAATTTAATCTTCAATATAATCACTATATAAAGAAAATACACGCTCAGTAAAAGAACAGGAATGAATTCTATTTTTAATTAGATCAACATAAACGTTCTAACTAAATGAAAAATCGGAATTAAAACTCTTTGTTCTTCAAAAATATTTAATATTCTATTGATTTTTTTTAAGTCATATGCAATGCGATTATTTAATTAAGTGACATCTCGTAAAATTTAATTGTGAAAATACTTAGTTTATTGGATATGTTATTCAATGGGAAAAAAATGATTCATGAAATTAAACCTAGGGTGTGTTTGGTTGGGGGGAGGGGAGGGGAGGGAAAATGAGCCCCTCCCCTCATTTGGTTAAAAATTTTGGAGGGGAGGGGAGCTAAAATGTCCCCTCTCCTCCCTCCTCCCATTTTGGCTCCCCTCCAAATTGGGGGTTTTTGGAGGGGAGCCAAAATTTTGGACAATTATGCCTTTATGATTTTTTTAATATTCCACTTCTACCCATAAAATATATTATTATAATATTTATTTTAAATAAAAAATATATTATCCTAAGTAAAAAAATAAAAAATATATACATTATTATAATTAAAAATATATTATAAAAATTATTTAAAAATAAAAAATTATTTAAATAAAAAATTATAATATTATAAAATTAATTGTTTTTTATAAATATATTATTTATTAAATATATTTTAAAGCTGGAAAAAAAGATAGCCTAAAGAAAATAAAATTTCATTTTTCTTAGAGCATATAAAATTTGTTAATTTGATTATTTTAAATATATTATTATATTAATTAGAATAAAAAATTACTATACCAATTTTTTAATACACATATTAACATGATAAGACTGAATTTTTATTAAATTATATAATTTAAATTAAGATGTAAATTAATTTATATAATATATCAATAAAAAACATAAACTAATATGTAAGGGTAAAATGGTAAATTGATTATTACTACCCTCCCCTCCCCTCCTTGAACCAAACAATGGATCATTAAATACCCTCCCCTCCCCTCCTTTTTAATCAAACCAAACAAGGTGAGCATGAAACCTCCCCTCCCCTCAAACCAAACAGGCCCTAAGGGAACATTTATCGGATGCGGATCTATTGACGAGCGGAGGGAAACGGAGAGGATTCGGAAATCCAAAGCAACGGCCAATAATCCACGGCACCGCCTGTCCCAGTCACGGCAAGGCGATCTGCGGACGCTGAAGGAGTCCAACTTTGTAGAGAATTGAATAAATAGTACCAAGCAGGAACATGAGCTGGCAATTAACGTCATAACCAGGCCCCATCCCCGCCACTCTCCTGCTTGACGTTATCCCAGTCCACAACCGATCCACGTCATCCTCTGCACATAAGGCTTAATCTTACTTTCCCATCTAGCTACCCTCCACCCAAAAAAAAAAACAAACAAACAATGCTCAGCTCTCCTCTCCTTGCTCTCTTCCTGCCCTGCTTCGGCATGGCCGCTCTTTTCCTCGTCTACTTCTGCCTTCTCCGGTGCGCCATTTCCGGCCACCCCGATCGCCCGCTTCCCCTCAATTCCCTTTCCCCGGACGGCCTCTCTGCTTCCGAGCTTCATCAATTGCCCACAATCACCGGCCAAGACCTGCTCACTCCCACTGAGTGCGCCGTCTGCCTCGGCGACATCGACGAGGACCACCCCGTTCGCCTCATTCCCGCCTGCAATCACGCTTTCCATTTGGAATGCGCCGATACCTGGCTCTCCCACCATCGTCTCTGCCCTCTTTGTAAAGCCAACCTTCATCCTCAACTCTTCACTCCTTCACAAAACTCCTGTTGATTGGGACAGTCGAATTAATTAACAGCCAGTTTGTTGATACAGAAGCCATCGTTGCTTTTTGGATTGAATATGTGTGCCTCTTGCTTACTCGGGAGGAGCTCGCATGGATCACTGGGAGGGTGCGTGCGTGATTAATCTGGTTTTCATGGCTTGTAAAACTTATTTTTTGTGACTGAAAATTTACTATCTTTTATAAAATAACATCACTGAGTTTTCTTTTTTCAAAATCAAAACGACCTTCCCATTATTTGAGGCTTTTCTGTTCAATTATGCTGCTGGGGGTTTGGATTTTCCGACAGAAGGGGACGGTTCGATCGGATGAGAAAATCCATGAGTTCTGGATGGATAGATTTGGGTCTCGTCGACTTTATCAGTGACTCTGATCAGTAGAACAGAGTTCTGCTGGAAACAAGAAGAGAGGCACAAGGAACAAAGAGCTGCGTACCATGTTAAATAAAATAATAAATATACATGCGACTCGAATATCGAATACAGATCAAAGCCTATAATGTATATTAGATATTGGAGAAAAAGAATGATAACTAACAACACTATCTGGAAAAAAAAAATCAATGTAAGATAAGAACCTCTAATTTAAACTGTACATGTAGACATTTGTACGGTCAATTTTAAAGCTTCAATTGTTTTCTTTTTTAACTCCGGCTCATGGATTTTACCGGGTTCTCCCGAGTCTCAGCAGAACAGAGTCATGTTGGAAACGAGAAGAAAGAGCGAATTCTGGGTGAAAGCCGGTCATTAAAAGGAAAAAGGCGCATCAGTACCAGAAGGCGGGAAACAAAGATGCTGCTTTATCCTCGTGCGAATCAAATATTGAATATGAAGTTTCAGGTGGAATTGATCTAATAAATTTGAATAAATTAAAAAATTAGTTAATTTAATTCTTTGTAATAAATATATATTTTTAATCTTCTTGCTAATTATATATATCGGCTAAGATTATCATTAAATAAAATTTTTAACATATATAACTATTATAAGAACTGTTTAAAAAAAAAAATTACCTCCGACCTAATTACAAGATCTTATTTGTAAGGCATTAAAAGATCTTGTTTGTATGACATCTTTTAATGTCTTACAAATAAAATCTTGTAATTAAGACCGGAGATAACAATTAAATATAAAAAAACTAAATTGTAATCTAAATCAAATTAAAATTAATTTTTATATTAAAGACTGAATTAGTATATTACGCACTGAGAGGGAAAAAATTAAACTTTGATGTTAAAATTTTAGGGGCACGCGGGCAAGGAAGAAGACACTGTGTGTATGGTGGCGACACGTCACGGGGTCATTGTGATTACGTGGCTCCATGAATGACGAAAGACAAGCTTAACAGTCTGGTTCCAGTGGGCCTCACATAGTCACATGTCTGATCTCTTAAAAAGGGCTGTGTGCGCATGGGTACCTGGGAAGAAAAATGGTAGAGTATGATGCTGCTCCGTGCCAGCCAATTTATGGTAGGGTCCGCCCCGGAATGTATTATGTGTGTTTGTTTTGCTTATATTCAAGGCAAATACTTCAATATTTTTCATCTTTTCATGGTAGGGTCCGCCCTGGGCCTCACGTGGTCACGTCTCTGATCTCTCAAAAATTTTATTTATTTGTTAATCATTAAATTTTGATTTTTTCCATCTTTTTTTTGCCAGATTAATATTTTTCATCTTAAATATACTGCTCCATCCTATCTAATTTACAGTAAAAAATTAATTCTCTAGCAAAAAATTAAAAAGTTAATTAAAAAAATCCATTATAGACTGCTTTTATTTAACCACGTGTTTTGGTCATTAACAACACAACACAGCTTCTTAATTTCTATTCTTTAATACTCTTTAAGGACATTTTTGGAAAAATACTAATTAAGCATACATCAAAAACGCTTCATAGTTGTAATTTAATTCAATGTCACGTTGCTGTAAAAAATTAAAAGGGTGTCTGGATATTTTCTAAAATGCTTTTTAAAATACTTTTCTGTAAATCGAGATAAACTCTCCTATGTATTTATTTTGTATGCTATAAAATTGTTTCTAAAATTATAATTTGGTGTTTATCAAAACACTCTAACCTTTTTAACATAGCAGCAAACAGATAGACTCGATTTTGAAAAGCAATCTGCCAATCTCACATATCATCTTTAGAGGAAGAGTAAGCAGGGGCAGGGTGAGTGAGAGAAGCGGAGGTTTGTGCTTTAAAAGTTGTTCATGTTTTATCAGGTATATTTACTTTTGTTTTTTATTGCTTATTCGAGAATTATAATCTTTAACTCCAGAACTAAATCATTTTCCTGTATATGAGTAATGAGAAGAACATTTAGATTCCTAAAAATGAAATTTAATTAATCAGGATGAATCGCGATTTTTCTTGAACGATTGATCAGTGTAGAGGTCAACAATTTCAAATTGGATTAGTTTACTATAAAAAAACATTACAAGTCATGCTATTTATAAATAATCATTATGTTCTTATTAAATATCACGACTCTAGTTCTTAATATAAATTACTTTTAATTATTCTATTAGATTAAAAAAGTGAGTTAAATTTTAAAGTAACCTGACTCTTTAATCATAAAAAATAATGCCTTCTCATATACTTTTTGACACATTATTGATTTTTTTCTTCTATAACTTAAAGTATTTTTGAGTTGCTATGAATTTAAAATTAATTTTAATTGCGTTGAGAATATTAAAATTAAAACTCTCTAATTGAATTCTGGCTCATGTTGTTTTCTTATGAAGATGAGACGGTTCACCTAAATAACAGTTTTTGATTATATTTAAAATCACAAATTCCTTTAACAACCCAGAGGAGGAGGGAGCATTCGATTGATATGACTAGGGTACAACGGAAATAATGAAGGGTGAGGGCAAGGAAACAAAGAACTACTGCGCCCTGACGCCCCGAAAACCTACAAGCGTTGTCCCTATACTGTTTGTTGAATTAACCTCAAAACTAAGGGAGTGTTTGGATAAAAACCAAACCATGGTTTCAGAAGTGTTTTTACGGATTACGAAGTAAATATGTGGAAGAGATTACCTCGTTTTGTAAAAAAATGCTTCTGAAACCACGGTTTTGAAGCACTCAAACAGAGCCTAAACCTCATACGAGGGAAGTGGAACGGAAGAGAGGTGTGAACAAATTTTAATAAGCTTAATTTAAAAAATAAAAAAACAAGGTTATAAAACTTGGATGAAGAAAAGATAAAAGATGAAAAAAAAACACTTTTAACTTTTTAAATTAAGCTTATTAAAATTTGTTCACATTTCTCTCATCGAGGCAACAGCAAAACACTTTGCTCAGAGTAATAAAATAATTTAAAATTTAAAATATTTTTTGGGCAAAAAAATGTTTTTTAGGTAATAGATAATCATTTTTCCGTTTGCGTTGGCAGGCCAAGTTCAACTCTGCAGAGAAAGGACTGAGGTAGCTGAAAACCCTACGAGCGTCTCAATAGCGGACTCGATCCGCGTTCGTGAGTTGCATTTGCAAAACTTTGGTTTCTCAATTTGATTTGTAATGCTCACCTAGTTTGCTAGTTCTTGAACTTGAATTTTATTCGATGCTTTGCTTAGGGTTTAGTGCTCGATAAACTCTAGGGCTAAAAAGTGGAAGGAGGCGATTGTTGTAGAATATCTCCAAAATGACTCAAGACGTGGAAATGAAAGATCATGCTACTCCTTCGCATTCTGTTTCCTCAGCTGTTCCATCCACTTTGCAGCGTAAGGATCGGGTCGCAAAATTACTCCAGCGGCGATTTCATATCGTCTATATTTCTTAACTTCAAGAATTCAAAAGTAAATCAGTTAGATTTTGCTGTTGTTGGTAATTGACCTTGCAGATTTGAAGGAAATAGCATCCCTTATCGAGACCGGTTCCTATTCAAAGGAAGTTCGTAGAATTGCTCGTGCTATTCGCCTTACAATTGCTTTGAGACGGAAATTGACAGCATCGGTGCTCTCATCTTTTCTCGACCACGTTCTTACTCCAGGTTCTGAAGCTCATTCCAGATTGTCTGCCTATGTTCCCAAGGTATTTTTCTGATCTTCTAGTTATTTTGAAGCTTACTCATAAATTCAGCGATTGTGCCTGTTGAAATTTTTTTTTTCCTAGTTAACTATGTTTTGCTCTCTGTTCAGGGTGTTATGTTTTGATTCTGGGCCTTTTTTTTTTTTGCCTCTCTCTTAAACTATATTAGGATTTGGTACATAATTTTGAGTCATATAAAATGCAGCTCTGTTAAAAACCTCAAATACCGAAGGCGTTAACGGATTGTGAGGAAGTTAGGTGTTCTGCATCTGCATGGTCATTTGTTTAGCAGCATTTCTCCTTTTATTTCTGAGAAACGCTCCAAGTCAGCGTCTTTGACTTCAGTCATTTTGAAGGTTGAATTTAAGGGGCATCATCTCCATGATATCTCTCTCGAGATGGATGCTGATTATCTGCTTAATTCTTCTTACATGCCCCGTTCCAATCACATGCAGTACTTGGTTCATAGCTGATTGAAATATTTAGTTGCATTGAATAATATGTTCAATTTCTTTCTGAAAGTCGGTTTTCATGCAGTAGGTTATCTGTAATCTGTTTCAGTATAGGGAGAGTCATTATATCCATGTTTACCCTCTGGTCAGTTACTCATGGCTGAAATTTGAAATTTCAAATGACTTTGATTTGTTTTATTGATTGACAAGAGAACTGTGTGAAGAAATTTTTAACCATTTATTGCTATCTTTTTAACGGATGCCATGGTTTGAATCCTATTTGTTGTTGCTGGCTTTATCTATAGGAGGACGAGCATGAGATGGAAGTGGATACTGCAACATCTGCTGTTCAAGTCCCATCTAAACACCTACTGCCTGAGCTAGAGATCTACTGCTACTTGCTCGTCCTACTGTTTCTTATTGATCAGAAAAGATACAATGAGGTCGGTGCTGTCTTCTTAAAATTCAATGTGTGGAGCATTTGACAGCTGATTATATGCTAAAGGTGATTGGATTCTTCATTTTAGGCCAAGACCTGTTCCTCAGTGAGTATTGGTCGACTGAAGAATCTGAACAGAAGAACTGTTGATGTCATTGCTTCCAGACTATACTTCTATTACTCTTATAGCTATGAACTGACGGGAGACCTTGCTGAAATTCGGGGGTGAGTTAGGTGTTAATCTGTGTAATGTATGCATAGAAGTTCTGATGTTATGGCTTGCTTTATGTTAGATACTTTTCTGTAAAGGAAAAAGATGAATTTGATCTAACTCTTAATTGAATGGTCTCAGCAACCTCCTTGCATTGCACCGTATTGCCACTCTCCGCCACGATGAGCTGGGTCAGGTTTGTTTCATCTGAATTAATTATTTTTCACATGTGCTTGGAACATGCACTAACATCATGATGGGGTGCAGGAAACACTTCTTAATCTGTTACTTCGTAATTACCTCCACTACAACCTATATGACCAAGCAGAGAAGTTAAGGTCTAAGGCACCACGATTTGGAGCACATTCAAACCAGCAGGTATGGTGGTTTTGTTATTCTGGGCATCGAATAAGGAGTTTTCTAGTCAATAAATGTAATGTTCTACATGGCCATGCCATTTTGAACCCTCAATTAATTTGCATCTAAACCTTGGTGAAATTTAATTGTTTTTCTTACCTTTTCCTTGGCATGTTCTGTTGTATTTTTATCCAGTTCTGTCGTTATCTCTTCTACCTTGGGAAGATTCGAACCATACAGTTGGAGTATACCGATGCAAAAGAGTCACTCCTGCAGGCTGCCCGAAAGGCTCCAGCATCAGCACGAGGCTTTCGAATTCAATGTAATAAGTGGGCTGTAATTGTGCGCCTGCTGTTGGGAGAAACACCTGAAAGGACTATCTTTATGCAGAGAGGAGCGGAGAAAGCCTTGAAGCCTTACTTTGAGCTTACAAACGTAAGTTAATATGGTTAACTGAAGCTAGTTATAATATTATTTTTGGCTTAGGTTCTCTAGGTATAACTTTGTCCCTACAATCTAGCTTTTTTAGCATGGAAAGTGTAACTTATTAGACGAAAAAGTGGTCCTAGTGTCGTAACTTAGTGTGTCTTTCTTCATTCATCTTTTAAGTCTCATCCTTCTGTGCTCATTATTGTTAGCGCTAGCGTGCTACTTCATTGACTTCTTTCATTTTTGCGCTTGCTTGGTTTGTTCATTGGCCAATTCTAGTTATTCTCTTTCTAGCCTTTTTTTTTTTTTAATTTTTTTTTTAAGTGAGGGAGACACTGAAGGCCTAAGGTTGCAAGTGGGATTAAACTTACAGCTTCCCACTTACAAGGAAGCATTTATGCCATTGGGCTATAAGGCCATTGACTCTCTTCCTAGCTTTAATCATTCATAAGCACATATACATCTCTACTTCCTTCAAGATTTCTAATCCATTGTCATTACTCTTTCGGAACTTTTTTTATACGCAAACTGATTTTGAGGACTTCCTTCCCATTGCAAGTACAATTTAAATTTTTTATTACCAGAGTGACCTGTCTCCTTTGTCCTAGATCATGTAGTATTTGTTTTTGTTGTGGGATTTCAGGCAGTGCGCATTGGTGATCTGGAGCTGTTTAGGAATGTTGCAGAAAAGTTTGCTACCACTTTCAGTACGGATGGGACTCATAATTTGATTGTTCGGCTGCGACATAATGTTATCCGAACTGGCTTGCGCAACATCAGCGTGTCTTATTCTCGCATCTCACTTGCTGATGTAGCTCAAAAATTGAGGTTGAACTCTGCTAACCCTGTTGCAGATGCTGAGAGCATTGTAGCCAAGGCCATCCGCGATGGGGCAATTGATGCTACATTGGATCATGCTAACGGGTGGATGGTATCCAAGGAAACTGGAGATATTTACTCCACTAACGAACCTCAATTGGCTTTTAATTCTCGAATTGCCTTCTGTCTTAACATGCACAATGAAGCCATTAGGGCACTGCGTTTCCCACCTAACACACACAAGGAAAAGGAAAGTGCTGAGAAAAGGAGAGAGAGGCAACAACAAGAGCAAGAACTGGCCAAGCACATAGCGGAAGAGGACGATGACGATTTCTGAAAGCAATTTTTTTTTTTTTTGGTTCTCAGTTGCAGTCAGAATTTCTATTATTTTGCTCTTTATTTCCCTTTGAAGAACTTGTATAATTATGTCTGTTTCATGAAAGTGGAATTATTTTGTACGTGGAAAATCTCATGATTCCATTAAGCCCTTTATCATATTGATATCATCACTATTTCTTTCCTTTATTTATCATTATCCGAATGCTCTTTGTATTAGTAGTTTGGAGCTCGGGGAATTTTCTTACACACTGGGATGGTAAGCATTGATTTCTTCCCCAACTTGGAACCTAGGTGTAATATGGATGGCCTTGCCCTTTAAGATGTTAGTTTGTAGGTAGTGGGTCTTTTCCCCCTTCAATATTACTTTTATCATCAGCACTATTTTCGCCTGAGACTTGGTCCACTTGGAGTAGTTCGAGGAGCATCGGGCGCAACTTCGTCGCTTTGCTTGTCATGCTGTCGTAGCACAGAATAAATACCACGGGTCCATGAGATATCTCATTCTTATAGAAGTCATTCCAAATCAAAGATGATACTAAATGGATGTCCAGCATCTTCTGTGATCTAATTAGAGAGCCTTGAGATCCGTCCTGCTCAGTGAAAAAATACAATGAATCAGCCGGTTATTATTTGATAAGATAGATCGCGGTTCGCCACGGCTTTTCGCAAGATTGATTGATGATGATAATTGAACTCGCGCTCGTGCATCTTGATTTGTTCTTTAATAAAAATTTAGTTGAACCTGCTGTAAGGATCAGAGGCATGGAGAAGAAACACGAAAATTGATTTCTGGAGATGGAGAAGGACCACGCCGGAGGTCACTGGGATGGAGGTGAAAACGGGAGCGGCGGAGGGGACGACGGTGGATGGACAAATCTAGAGAGGCAGCACAGAGAAGAAATATTGAGGACAAATATCTGAAAAGTTGTGACATGGGGCAAAAATGGCATACACCGACTTCGCGGAAGCCCAGCCGGTTCCAGTTTCCCAGGGATGGAACCGTTTCGTGGAGTTCGGTGGAAGCCCTTTGAGAGGCGGATTCTTGCATACCAAATAAGCAATTCTCAGATTTCTGTTTCGCTTCCTAAGCTCCCTTTTTTTTTTTGTGTGTGTGTGTAATCCAAAGACCTAAGCTCCAAGTGTAGGTCCTCTGGGGTGCCAAATGGGTTATTACTTTCGGGCTTTGAATATTTATGAGCAACTTTGCTCTCTGATATGAACAACTCTGCTATATTTATTTGTATTAGACGTCTGTTATTCTATGACAGCAAGATGGTAGTTGGAGTTCACCATCTTCACCCGACTAGAAAATATTCTAAAGCCGGATGCTTACAGCTCACCGAGTATTGGTATTTTGCTTTAGATCATTCTCACCAATAAAATTTGGAAACTTTTGTCCAATTTTTCCAAAAAATTATCATATCACACTAGTAGAAGGAGCAATAAATAAAAAAGAAGTAAAAGCCACGAAATTGACAGACAATATGCTAAGCCGAAGGCGTTGCTGGCCCATATGAGCCGGGGTCCCGTATGCCATGGCAATTTTAACATGCAGATGCTAGCAAATAGTAATGTCTGACAAGAAGTGAAGGTAAAAACGATGGTGATATTAAACCAGAATGATAAAGCCACTTTAAGATTACCAAGAGTTCTGTATTGGTTGAACCCGGATAGCTAACCTTTCCGTTGATTTATATTTTATAGCTGGGTTTCGGACTTCAGTAATCAGAGTTGTTTTGTTGTGTCTATCAATCAAATCATTCTAACAGATCTCAAATTGTAGTGGATTTTTTGGCCAAAAAAAAATTGTAGTGGATTCAGTAACAAGTACAATAAGCCATCTGCAACAACAAGAACCACATGAATTTGGGTCAGCCAATCGTTTCTGCTTGATCAATGTTTTATATCTTACTTCTGGTCCTGCTTTCCTCTCACAATCCAATCAAATTTTGGGCTCCATTTTGGTACGAAGAAAATGGATGGAAGGAAAGAGAAGGAAAAATATTAAAGAACTCGATTTAAAAAATTAAAAAAATAAGATTAAAAACTTTTAATTAATTTTTGTTACTTTTTTGCTTTGTCAAATTTTTAATACCTCAGTTCTTTAATTTTCTAGACTGAGCTCATTCAAAAATTTTTTTATTCCCTTCATTTCATTTCTCACGTGCCAAACAGTACCTAACTCTTTGCTTCACTAAGGTCCCAAAACAAAAAACTTTCACTTCAGAAATGTACCATATATTACTTATAATGGAAGGGGGTTGGCTTTTAAAAGGAGAGTACCAAATGCAAATTTCACAGGATATGCTTCAAATACACTACTCCACTCTGGGTCGCTGACGATTACCAAATATATTAACAACCATGTCCTCCTAACGACTCCATATCGACGCCAGCCAAGGCCTACTACACTAAGCTGTATAAATACCGTTCTCCTGTTGCATCGTCTCACAACACAGACGCATTCGTGAAGCAAGCAGTATGGCAGCCATTGCAATAGTGATGCTCACAATGTTGTCAGTGGCCAGTATTGGGAATGCGCTTAGTGTAGACTACTACAAGCACACATGTCCTCAGGCGGAGTACATAGTGGCAGGTGCCGTACATAAAGCAACCATGAACGATAAAACAGTCCCAGCTGCTCTGCTTCGCATGCATTTTCATGATTGCTTCATAAGGGTATGTATGGATCACATGTGTAAACGCCACTTGTGATTCCCGAAACTCCAATTACGTGGCGAATAATATGATGTTAACTGTTATTAGTTGTTACTGCTTTGTAAGGGCTGTGATGCGTCGGTTCTACTGGAATCAAAGGGAAAGAAGAAAGCAGAAAAAGATGGGCCTGCCAACATATCTTTGCATGCATTCTACGTCATCGACAATGCCAAGAAAGCACTGGAAGCCGCATGCCCCGGGGTGGTCTCCTGTGCAGACATTGTCGCACTTGCTGCTAGGGATGCTGTTTTTTTGGTCGGTCCCAAATATTAGTTGTTCCCGTCATTTTGGTCTGCATAAATCATTTATTAATGGAAACACTCACCCAAATTTATTTTGTTGTTGGTTGGTTGTGATGGGAATGGTATTAGTCGGGAGGACCCATGTGGGAAGTACCGCAAGGAAGACGAGATGGAAGAATATCAAGAGCAGATGAAACCAGACAACTGCCAGCTCCAGTCTTCAATATTTCCCAACTCGAGCAAAGCTTCTCTCAGAGAGGCCTTTCCTTGGAAGATCTTGTGGCCCTCTCAGGTATGCGGGTGTGTGCGTGCGCGCATGAATTCCCACATCATCTTCATTCTGCAGTAACTGTAAATAACGCCATTTGTGTGTGTGTGTGTGTGTGTTGACAAATGGTGCATGCAGGAGGCCACACCCTTGGGTTCGCTCATTGTTCGTCTTTCCAGAACAGAATCCACAACTTCAGCCCCAAACAAGACATTGACCCTTCAATGGACCCCTCCTTCGCCGCCAGTCTTCGACGCATTTGTCCCTTTCACAACAAGGTCAGAAACGCCGGTTCTCCATTGGATTCCAGCTCCACCGCTTTTGACAACGCTTATTACAAGCTGCTTCTTCAAGGTAAAAGCGTCTTCACTTCCGACCAGGCTCTGCTCACTCATCCCAAAACCAAAGCATTGGTTTCCAAGTTTGCTCATTCCCAAAAGGAGTTTGAATACGCCTTCGTCAAGTCCATGATCAAAATGGGCAGCATCACCGGCGGCCAAGAAATCAGGCTTGACTGTAAAGTTGTTAATTAGACGATTCTATATATTTTTCCAGAAAAGGAAAACAAAAGAGAAAAAATAATTAGAACAGCAAGGGGTTCTATCTGCGAGGATTTAACTGTGACATTCGAGGCTTAAGCTGAGCCTCTCGTCCAGTACAGTGGTTGTGAGTTGTTTTCCCATTGATGTCAGTTAGTGTCGAGATAGGGTGGCGTCTGTGTGCATGTTAACATTATCAATTAAATTCTTACTAAAATGAAAATTATTGGTTTAGAAATGCTCTGTTTGGTCGTTGGGCTTTCCCATTGAGATCCCTTTTAACTTTAACAGTTTATAATGCAAGAATATAATCTCTCAAGATAAGGTATTCTTAAAATTATAATTATTAATTCCTTCCAAAATTCCTTTCACATAATTAAAATTCTTGCATCTAAAATTCAAATGCAAATCCCATTTATCTTGGGTCATAAACTTAATTATCCTTTTTTTGGGGGGAATTTTTTATCATTAAGAAAAATTCCCATCCTCCTTACGGATGCCAGGGGTTATTCTAGTTTCCAATTTCCGAAAGAAAAATCTGTGGGTTGATTCAGTTTCAGTGAATCCAGACTGTAGATATTGTAGAATAAAAAAAACGAAGAAATCGTTACAAACCGTTGGCATGTCTCTATTTTGTGTCTTCAACCGTTGGTATATCATATAACCGACTAACTTTTCGATGGGGAAAAAGTGGAAGCAACGAAAAACCAATCGGCAAAGGCCTAAATCAAGACCCACTTGACAAAGCCTTTCTTTGTGATGTACAATAAACGCCGTTTGAGGAGCACGAAAGGGATTAATGTGCACACAGGAGAATCCACCTATTTATCATTGTTTGTCCATAATTTCTCCAATAACGAATCTCCTGGATCTATTTATTATGGTAAGAAGCACAAGTAGGTATGTTGCTCAAGCTCTTGCAGCTGATCCAGAAAGCTACACTCGTGTTCATGAAATTCTATGACTAGCTACCTGCCCCAAAATCCTCTTAACCATCTGACTCGAAGTATCCACGTCGTAATTCATCAGAATATCTGGATTTTGTTCTGAAGGCTTCAAGGCATTCTTCATTCACGCTTGTCTCTTCTTCCTCAAATTTTTTCTGCTTTTTACCTGGGTAACAAACGAGCAGCTTCAGGAGCTTATCAGATAACCAACAATTGATTAGAAAAAAGTATTGAGAAGGTGAAAGATGAAGAGAATGAGGAGCAAGATCTGTTGGAGAAGTTGTTCACAAAATATAGGGCACAGCAGTTGAGGATAGAATGGAGAGAATTAAGTAGTGACAGGCTCCTAGCCAGGGGGTTTCTTGAGCCGTGCAGTCATGCGATGAATCGGTTTCTCTGGATGGATGAGATTGAATGCTTGAATGGTGTTTGGGAAGATGTCGAGCAGAAGAGAAGAAATTCATTTGGCAGTTTGTTAACCCGTTAACTGTTGAGATCATCACCGATTGTGATCGTTTCTCTCGATTTTGATTTACTTCTGTGTAACTTGTTCCAATTAACCAATTATCCTTACTCAAATACATATATGCTCCTCTTTCCTTTTCAGGAAAGCAAAAGAACACTTGCATAATAATACTCTGCTTTCTGTTTCTGAAAAGTAGGGTCTCACACTCCAATGTCCTACATATTTATAAATCAGGGAAGATTTTCGGGGTCTTTTCTTTGCTCTGAATTGTTGATTGTGTGTCACGTACGAGGTGAAAAGATAAAGAGTCATTAGAGTGGGTCCCGCAGTCCTCCTAAATGATTGGAGATGTGCCGTACATAATTTGAGCTACGCCTCTTGTGCGGACCTTGAAATGACGTGAAATTTCCAGCAACTACCGCTTTGGAAAAAAATCCTCTCAAACTCTAACCCAGTCATCCCAAACTATGTTCTTTTTTTCCTTCGCATCGCCGGGCTAGTTGTATGAGTCCGTTTTGCATATTGCTCATGAAGAGACGTTGAAGAGATGGGAATTAAGCACAGTGACACCGGGTACATCAATGTATAAAACCATCAATATTAATACACATGGACGGAGACAATATAAGAAACAGCGTCATCTCAGGAATCTATTACTGGCTGGTGGTTTGATTTGCAATTTGCCAATATTTCATCCGTCGTTTACATATTTTATTCAAAAGGTACTGGGGTGGATACAAATCAGGAAGAACAGGGGGGACGTGTGTGTGTGTTTGTGTGTTTTATTGTTGAAGAAGAATTGAGAGGGAAAAAGAATTAAGGAGCAGGAGAGGCAGAAGCAATGTCAATGACAAAACGGTGAGGGACATGGTCGTGGGCGAGGCGGTGCATGGCGTGGTTGATTTGATCGGGCCTTATCAACTCTGTGTCGCACGTGATGTTGTGCTTCCCACAAAGCTCCAGCATTTCCTGCGTCTCCTTCATGCTTCCGATGATGCCTCCTTTCACCGCCCTTTTCCCTGCACGTACGCAAAACACTCCCATCATTAATTACTTCACAGGAAAGAACCAGAGAGCTGAGACATGATATGATCAGATGAGGCAGGGAATACCGAAGATCAAAGGAAAAGCGGGCAGCTGAAGGGGCTCGTTGGGAGCACCCACGATGAACAGGGTGCCATTGACCTTGAGCAGTTCCAGGAGAGGCAGCAGAGAATGCTGCCCCGACACCGTATCCAGTATGAAATCCAACGTCCTCTTCCCTCCCTCCATCTGCTTTTGGTCGCTGCTCACTATAAACTCATCAGCTCCTAGTCTCTGCTTCGCCTCCCGCTCCTTGCCCGCCGTCCTGCTGACCACCGTCACGTGGTGCCCGAACGCCTTCCCAAATTTCACCGCCATGTGCCCCAGCCCTCCCAGGCCCACCACGCCTATCCTCTTCCCCCCGCACTCCACCAGTCCGTGATCTTTCATCGGACTGAACACCGTTATCCCCGCACACAGCAGCGGCGCCGCTCCTTCCATCCTCAGGTTCTCCGGTATGCGCACTACATATCTGCACATTCTCGACACAAACACCCCCACTGTTATATCAATGATCCCTTCGAACGATATATACTCTGCTCGCAAGAACTAAGATTCAGTGGGGAAGAGAAACCTGTAGTCCGCCACTATCATGTTGGAGTAGCCACCGTAGGTGATGCTGCCGTCCCAGAAGATGCCGTTGTATGTGAACTGTAGTTGTTGGCAGTAGTTCTCCTGATCACTGTTGCAGTATTCGCAGTCCAAGCAGGTGGCTGCCAAGCACCCAACCCCTGCTCTGTCTCCTTCCTTGAACCCCTTCACGTTGCTTCCCACCTTCGTTATCAACCCCACGATCTCGTGCCTGTCAACACATATCATTATATATTCCTGTGCCTGCCTGTCTGTGAGCGAGAGATTCGCACATAAATTGCAATACTAATGGAATTACCCGGGAACTACGGGATACATGGTGATGCCCCAGTCATTGCTAACATAGTGGAGGTCAGTGTGGCAGATCCCACAATACAAGATCTGTATAGTAACGTCGTTAGGCCCGTTCTCGCTGCACGTATTTAGGCGGAGACAGCAATGAATGGTATGTTCAATAAAAGGAAGGGCAATAATAGCATCACAGAGGGGGAGGAAAGAAGAAGAGAGTACCGTCGTTTGAAAGTGTAAGGGGTGATTTCGCCAGAAGAATCGTGAGCAGCCCATCCAGAAACGGTCTGTGTGTGATTGGGCGTGGTCTCGGCCATTGCAACGAGTTTCTGAAGCACGAGCCCACTGTCTTGTCTCTGTCGCTCCAATGCTTCGGAATGGTGATGCGCGGCGGATAGGCTGTTGATCAGGTTTTTATAGAGGAATCCCTCCACATAGCTACAGGAACCGCGCAAAAACTACATATATTAAATCTTATCGGCTGGTGACTTGGCGTGGCTCGCGCGAAATTACCCGGCGGGCAAATGGCAGATTCCCTCGCATTTTTTAGTGTATATAATAAATAAATAAATAAATAAATTAGCAGTAAACGACAAGTCAATGGTAGGCAATGGCGCAGTATGAACAGAAACTAGCATAGTGATGAAATAGTGTGGTAGCATCTGATTACTACGTAATGGGACCCTAAAACCACCTTGAGAGAGACTTGAGTTGAGTTGAATATAACGAACAAGAGGTACTATTGAGATTTCAGAGTAGCATCGGATAACGAGTGGCTAAAATTGTCCGCCATTGGGTTGTTGAGATTGGGATTCCCAGTCAAGTCAATCAAAATGTGAAAAGCATTAGGAAGCGCTGACTGCCTGATTCCTCGTTGCTTCTTGTGAACTTGCCACCATATTGCTGAGTTAGAAAATCGAAAGAAATTTTTTTAGGTTTAATTTCAAATAAACTGCCTTTTTTTTTTTTAATCAAATCACCCATAACCACTTGCTGTTTTTTAATGGGATAAAGATAATGTGATGCTTCCTTTACTTCTTAATAAAAGTTTGGCATCTAATTTGTGAACAATAAACAAATTAGTTAAGTTAATTATAAATAATAAATAAATATTGATTTTTTTAAAATTTTGGAGGTGTACTTAGCACTCTAAACTATTTAATGGTGTAATTTTGGCCCCTCCCAGTGTAATAGAAATGGTGCAATTTCAATCGAAGTTAACTTTCCTTTTAATTCCGTTGGATGCAATTGACTTTTGCGCATTTCTTTTTTTTTTTTTCTTTTAATCAATGGCACGTATTTATAAACTGATACCAATTGCACTAACAGAGTTAAAAGAACAGCTAACTTTGGATGAGATTGCACTGTTTTTATTATGTCAAAGGCAAAACGACACCACTAAATTATTTAAAGTGCCGAGTGCACCATCGAAGATAGATTAGGATGTTAAGTACACCTTTATCCAAACAATATTGGTAATCATATGTATTAAAACTAACATTTGTTGCAAACACTTTAACACTGACAATCATGCAGATAAATATAATAAATGATTGAAGTTTTATATTGAAGATGAAACTAAATGTCTTTGACTAAACAAAAAGATGAAATTAAATTTCACTTTGTGTTATATTATCACAAGACAAGAAGAAAACACGGGTTACGATACACCCGTCTCCCACTTAGCTGACGAGGAATGTGATTAATCTCCCACTTAGCTGTTACTTGGGCTTATAATGACTCTGGGCCTCAACTTATGTTTGGGATTCGAGAAAATTTTGGACGAGAAGCCCAAGTAAACATAGTGGGTTGAGACAAGTAAAATTTTAGTACATGTAATTACAACTTAATGATTGATAATTGATATCCTTCTATCCAGGCCCAATTGACAAACTCAATTAAGAGGGTTTAAGTCTTTTGAAAGAGGTGACCAAAAGTTTCGCGACTAAAAATAAAGTGATCAGAAAAGTTAAGTGAAAATCTAATAATGATAATACTTCAAAAAAATTATCCTAACATAGCCTCAATTAATTTGCAACAAATCTAATTGACCTATTTCGCCAAAAACAAAAATTAAAAAAGTTATTTAAATATACATACCGTCTACTCATCTAGGCTAGCTCCGAAAATTTCAAATGATCCGAGATGTAACAAAAAAAATTGACCTAGAAACGTAACATTAACATAAATCAAATCATTTTAAGCCAACTCAAAATTAATATAGCAAAAATCAATGAAAAATTTGCCGCTTCACAAAACTAACCAATTCTAAACTTTATTTATTTATTTATTTATTTTTTTTTGGGGGTATGTGTGGGTTGCTATAACTTGCACTGAGTCCGAAAACAAACAGAGGGGACTGCTCCAAAGGGTTCTTTTCCCAAGCAAGATCCGTCCCTGAGTCGCCACAGCTTGTCATCCTACACAAAGAAATCCTTGCCTATTCCTTTTTCCCTTCATTCTTCAATGGCAGTATCCAATTTTTATCTGGTCATTTGATGGCTTCGTTTATATTCTAATTTTCCTTTGCAGTTTCTTTTTCTGTACAAAGCTAGAAAACCCTAATTGAAAATGGTCACTGCAACTGATTCTTCATCTGATCATCGCTCGCCGACTAGTGCTGGGGATACCAATAGCCCTAAATTCCCGCGAAAAAACCTGCCATCTCCGTGGGCTCAAGTTGTACGGGGTGGGGAGTGCGAATCTCATCCATCGCCGCCTTCATCATCTTCCTCTTCGTCATCACTCACAGCCTCCGTGCCCGACCAACCGCCATTCTCTGATTTTCCTCCGAAGGAAGCACCTTTAACGCAGCTGCCGGATAATTCTAATGTTGCTGCGGTAGATAACTCCGACGCTTCCGACGCCAATGCGGGTCATTCTAAGAGGCCCGCTTGGAGCAAACCTTCGAACGGCGTTGTCGAGGCTGGTCCAGTAATGGGTGCTGTTACTTGGCCCGCATTATCTAAATCCACGAAGGTTTCGTCCAAAATGTCAGCTGACTCCTCCTCTAAGACTGCCTTTGACGGATCACTTTCCCCCTCTCAGGTTTGGTTACAATACTTGCCCTAGTTTTTATGTCCATTTTACTAGTTGATTGGAAAAGATAGAAGGGAATGGTTGCAAGAAGATTCACCTTTTTCCGGCAACGAAGTTATAGACGTGTAGGTTCATCGGTTACTAAAACCAGCCGCTTAAGTTGTGGCCTCCTTTTTTTCTGCGTTTGTCCGGCAATCGGTTAGTATGTATGTTTGGGAAAAGATGTCGAATCTGTATATTCATGTATGTTGCCATATTTTTGTAGGGCTCTGGCACTTTACAATCCCCTCAAAAGCAACCTACTAATAATGCAAAGCCTAACTCTGCAACAAACTATGCTGTGCATCATAGACAAAGGTCAATGAAGCGTGGAGGTAGCAACAGCCCTGGGGTTGGTCATGCTCAGAGCAGCTTTTCTAATCCTCCCCCACCTCCCCCACCACCGCCCTTTCCTGTATTTCCTATACCGGCAAATACCTATGGTAATGTGGTGCCAGGGGTTTCAGATCATTCTCCAAGGGAAATCCCTTACAGGAACAATAGCTGGGATACAAGACCACCAGTTGGGGGTTTTGTGCCTGCTGTGAATGATCATTGGAATCCCCCCCGCAGAGGCAATTTCGGGCCCCATCAACGTGGGGATGGATCCTATCATAATAACCACGGGGGTAGGCGTGACCATGATCGTGGAAATCATGCAAACTCTAGAGATGCTCAAGTACACCAACAGAGGATGTCTCCTAGGGGATTAGTGAGGCACCCCCCTCCTAATACTCCTGCATTTGTTGCCCCTCCGCCCATGGGACCCTTTGCAAACCCCATGGGTTTTCCAGGTGGAATTCTTTTGCCCCTTTAGAATTTTGTTTCTATAAAATAAAGTGGGGCTAATGTACTTTCTCTTCTTTTCCAGAATTTTATTATTTCCCAACTCTACCACTAGAGCCGTTCAGGGGCATGCCATTCATTACTCATGGTCCTCCTCCTGCCATGTTTCTCCCTGTTGCAGAACCTCCTCTGACAAATATGCTAATGAACCAAATTGATTATTACTTTAGGTAACTTAATTGTGCTTTGTGATGTTTGTTTCTTTTTTGTAAAAGCTGAAATTTGAATCTTTTATTTGTTTTTGACAGTGATGCTAATCTAGTGAAAGATGATTTTTTAAGATCCAACATGGATGAACAGGGTTGGGTTCCCATTGCTTTGATAGCAAACTTCCGTCGGGTAAGTTTATTGTCTTCAATTAGGCAATACTTCCAACGAATTTACCTTGGATCCTTTGAACATAGTTTATCGCATAACTGAAAAAATTAGAATGGGTTATTTTCACTGGTGCATTTATTGAATAGTTCTTATATTGAGTTGCCTAATCTTCAGAGATTTCTTTTGACATCCCTTTTGCTGTTACTTGGCCATGCAATTAAGAGGAGCAACCCCCCCCCCCCCCAAAAAAAAAATCCGGATGATGAATAACCCACCTTCAATGATGTCCAACGGGGATGTGCGAACCTGATTTTGTTACGTATCTCCTGTGTATAAAGACTGATATCTCGGTTTTTCTTTTCTTTTTTTCCAATGCATGCTATACATCTGTCAGTTCTCACCAGTTGTTGCGCAATATATTTTTAAGTGCAGAAAATAAGTTACATAGAAGGGAAGATACACTAGGGCATGAGGATAGTAATCTGCATATCTTTTTTAAATATAATTTATGTAAATATATTCTTTTAATTATGTGTTACGTTTTCATTATCCTGTTCCTTGAAATATTTTTATTGAATGTATACAATGCCTTTAATATTAAATGATGGAAGAAGAATAGTCGTGTGCTTTAGCGCACTCTTGATAGGGTGTTCATATTTGCAGTAGTTGACACCTGGGAAAGACGTTGACCCTGACATTCTAGGAAGATTTCTAAAAGCTGAATGATCATCCTTGCCTTTCAACTATTTTTTTACTGTTAAGTATTTTGAAACGTGGATAGTTTTCTTTTGTGAAACGAGTAAAAACAACTCAACGAAGGTATATTAAAAAAAAAAAAAAAAGAACTAGCTCTTGGATGCATAGGTGGTAGTTGGTTCGTAGGTATTTTGGTTTCCCAAGTACTTGGATGTGGAAACTTAGTTATGAGATTTGAGTGTAAAGTCTGTAAAAAATTAATCGTCCGAGCATTTGGCGGGTCATACTTATGGTTGACTTGACTTAGGGACATTGATTCCTTTATACACTCAAAGGGCGATGAACGACTTATGCACCTTTAAGTGTGTGGATTTTCCAGTCCTGTTTCAATGTAAAGCATATCTCAAAGTTTTATATGATTGAAATCGTGTGCCACCGCACAAAGGAGGATGAAACTCTGATGTTTCTGTAATCATCAGTCTTCTATTATGTCAATCTTTCATTTGTGTAACTATCCATTTCTAGTGGTAAAATGTTTGAATAATTAACGCTATTCAATAACGAACTTTAATGATTTTTACTTGTTTATGTATGCATACAGGCAATTGGTTCTTTGTTTAACAGAGATAACAGGGAAAGATACACAGTGTGATTGAAGAGGGATGAAAATTCTCTGGCAGTTCTCTTAATGTAGATGCCAAACCTAACTATCAATCCTGACTAAGATTTCTTTGTTTCAGGAAGCAGCTGTGTGCTAAAATATTAGGATATTATTTATTTGTGTCCTTAATCTTGAACGCACCCCCTCCCAGTGGCGGGAAAAAAGTCCTGGGGCAAAATTTCACTAGAAGAAATCAAATCATATCATATCAAAACACCTCTAAAGAACAGCTTATATCCAGTCCATTATTGTGATAAAAGTATCTTTCAGGAGTCCGTTTGTGTATTGATCTCACTGTAAAATCTTAGTAGTCTTAATTCCTTCTTGCACAGTTTGTTTTTTTCTTCACTTGGATCTGTTTTGTAGGTTAAAAGTTTGACAAACAACATTCAGGTGATACTGGATTCATTGAGAAATTCTGCGGTTGTGGAAGTACAGGTAAATAGTATGTCTGAGTTTATGGTTTTATCTATGTGATTAGCTTCTCGTTCGATGCACAATCAGCACACTCTTTACATGCAATGTACTCCCTTTGGTCCTAAAAGTACGAGTTAGATAATTAATACACAGATTAAGGAAATTAATTAAGTTACTTATTTGTTAAAAATGTATTGGTTTTCTAAAGTACCCCTCCTTTTAGTTGTTTACATTGGAAACTACCCTTGTTGATTTCACACGTTTATGTATGTGAGTGTATGCAATCAGTAAGGGTAGTTTGAGAAAAAAGTAATAAATATTAGAAATAAAAGAGGACTGAGGTCTTAAATTTAAGATCAAAATAAATTTTTCAACTAACTCTTATATTTAGAATCATAGGGAGTATTATCTATTGCTTGCGTGGGGTGGTGAGTTGGGCAATGGTGTAAATTTGGCTTTTAATTTGAATCTTTAAGTGATGATTATGCTTTTAATTTAACAAAAGAAGGTACTTATTTTGTTGGTGGTGCTGTGACCTCACCCAACTATTTGCCTTAGGGTGACAAGATGCGGAGGCGTAATGAATGGACAAAGTGGCTGCCCTCATCTCAGCTTCGAGCTGATTCTGGTTCATCATCTCCTGTTGGATCAAGCTGCAATAACGTAGCAACTGATTTTCAAAAGATTGCTCTGGGTGAAGCTGCTACAGATAGAGGTAATTCAGACCCTACGTCAGAAGCTCTAGAAGAAAGATCTCCAACAGATTCTTCCTGTCATCCTCTGCTTCCAACCGATGATACTTCAGGGAACACCAATTAAGACTGCGCCTAAATAATATACTTGAGCCACAAATTATTCCAGCTGATTATCCAGTATCCGTACTGGGTACTACCGTTGATTTTTTTTGTTCTCCCTAATTTTATTAGATTTTTTTTTTTCTTATCTTGGGAATGGGAAGAGAGGCTGTTTTGGAGTCTGATTTCTTCCAGTCACGGAGCTCGATTTTGGTAGTGATTGAGTCACGTAGAAGGTGAAATAAGGATTTATTCATAATTACATCTTAAGGTAAGGAAGGTTGACCAGACATAGAACAAATTAAGAATTTTGGTCCGGACGGATTTAATGAACAGATTTGTATAGTTTATATTTGCTTCGGATGATTTTCTTGTCGTTTGTGGTTAGCCTGTGTTGGGAGATGGATTCATACCAGAGAGAGATGAGGAGAGACTCTCCGATGGGATGATTTGGGCCCAGGTGCTGCACTGCTGAGTTTCATATACCCGCATAAGCGTGACAGATAAAAGAAATCTCTCAAGGCCTATTTATTTTATTTTTTTATAATGTTATTTTATTAAAGGATTTCCTCATTTATTATTCTTCCTGCATTTCAATGTAGATATTTTATTTTGACTCTGATGGATCTTCCATCCCTCGCCTCCAATCAGTATGTTTTACATTTGTCCGGCCATATAATTTGGTGGTAGTCGTATTCTTCCTTTAAGATAAATGATAATCAGGGGAGGTTGTACGTTTCAGTGCTAGTTGTTATGCTGACGAATAATTTGATTGTTATGAGTCACTCTTAACAATGGCAAAGCAAAATCAGATGGATTCGTAATTCCAAGCGTGAGAGGTGATGGGCGAACTCGAATGCCCAGAGAATTTGCTCAATATTAAGGGGGAGTCTGAAATTTCTCATAGTTATTTAAAAAAAAGTGTCTTCACGACCGTTGAGGGATCCTTCCAAAAAAGTTTAACATTAACTAAAAATCTCCTCCTTGATTTTGCATGTTTCTTTGTGTTTCCGAAGGAGTTTTACTCATTTCCTTAAAAAAAAAACCAAAAAGGGTAAAGGTGCGCAGCACCTCATTTATTTTCAGAGGCGTTTAGTAGCACAATTTTATCCCCCAAACTAATAAAAATGGAGCAATCCCACCAACTTAACAATCCTTCTTAACTCTTGTTTGCTGACCAATAGATGGGTATTTCCGATTTTTTTTTTAAATTTAATAATGATAAATACTGCGTTGTGGCCACACCTTGTGCATCACCGTGAAATGCACTGCACTCACTTCGTTGGTGCTTAATCCTCTCCATTCTCACATTCCGTTTCTTAGTGAGTACTTTCATCAGATTCAAATGGGTTTACAATCAGAGATAGAGTATCTCGTAACTCTTTCACTCTTTGCTTTGCCACTTTCTAGATTTCCTCTACAATCTTGATCCTCCTCTTTCCTCTCTGCAACTTTCTCTCTCTCTCCTCTCTCCCCTTCTCTCTCCTAACTCTCCATCTCTAACCTTTATAGAAACATAATCTTATGATGAAAACCTTCACCCGCCATTTTCCCTCCCAATTCTGGGTTTTCAGCTTCCGATGGACAAGTTGTGGCTGCCACAATGCATGACTATCATTATTTGGGAAAAAAAAAAAAGCCCATATGTCAATTAGCAAATGGTGTTAAGAGGAACCTGTTATGTTGGGTGGAATTACTCTATTTTTATTAGTTTAAAGATAAAATTGTACCTCTGGTCAAAAAAAAAAAAGAAGATAAAATTGTACCACTAAATAGTTTATGATGTTAAAAAATAAATGAGAGTGCTAGCTGCATTTTTACCCCAAAAAAAAAAAGAAACAAGAGGAAAGGGAAGAAAAGAAGACAACCTACAGGGCCAAATCAGTCGGATCGAACTGGAGACTGAGCCGACTAGACCAAAAGGGTGCGAAGCTAGCAGGGTATGTCCGGCGCCCAGCTAGCAATGACAGCTCGTGAGGGGCTGAGGAATTTTTTATTTATCTATTTATTTTTTTTGGTGAGGCCTGAAGAGGCGCTTTACTAATAAATTACGCTCCCAGATTTTCTTTGTTGAGTGGATGCTCCATAGCCTCAACCCGCTGAACAGTAGTCAAGTCTGAATGATCAAATTTGACCTGCTCTGCTGGAAGCTATGAGGCAGTCGGAAGGAACAAACGAATCTTTCAGGCTTCCTCCACCTTCTCAAACTTTTTAGCTCATTCGGTTAACGTACTTACTAAACACACTCTTAGAATTAAGAATATTTTGGACTTATCAGAGAGAACAGGTGATGTTTTTTGGTAGTTTCCTGTCCCTTTACTTCCAAAAAAAGAAAATGTTGCATGTTGATGACGTCATCCTCCCCAAGAGATTGACCGAAAGAGGAGCTGTGAATGTCTAGGGTGGAATTGCAAAGTGAGAGAGGGGCATGGCAGGCGACGGCAGCAGCACAGTTACAAAAACCATGGATGAGGTGCGGAGCGACATCAAACTTTTTTCTCTCTGCCATTACCCCATCTCCCACCCTTCCTTACTTCATCACTTCTTCTCTCCTCCCTCTTCCTCTGCTTTTCATTCTTCTTCCTCTCGCATCCCCAGCAACAAGAGAACCCGCCATCAAATCCACGGCTCCTCTGATCCCCGCCATCAGAGTATGATCTAGAACAGAGAGTCCTCCGCTCGCTCTAGAGCCCCTATACAGGAGTCTCTCTCTCTCTCATTTCCCGCCACCTTTATTGTTGTTGCCCATCACTATTCAGTCCCTTCAGCATTCTCTGTTTCATTTGTGAGTCGTGACACTCAGACCTTAATATCCCCAGGCTTATACGAACGAGTTAGAACGCGAACTTGCAAGTCTACGAGAGGAGAATGCCAGACTCAGAAGACAGCAAGAGAAGGTCCGCTCTTTCTGTTTCCTTTATCTTTTTTTATTTTGGGTCATAATCTCATTACCCTCCATTTTGGAATGTGTTTAAAGTTTCCATAGAGCTTAAAAGTTTTTTTTTTTTTTTCAATGACTCTTGGGAAAAGCTAGAGTGGAGTGGAGTTTGGTCTATGTATTTGACTCAATCTCCACTGTGTGTCAAACAAAGAAACCGAAGTACCCCTTTATTCGCAGTGCAAGACAGTACTCAGAGCTTTTGGCGATGTTAGTGAATCCAATATTCATTATTGATGACGTTCCATCGGTTGCAGCTCCGCCAGAGGTCCTTGGATCGGCATCTCAAAAGGTGTACTTTGCTTAGAACCTCGACAGCTCCATTTTGAGGATTAAGAAAGAGCTTTCACATCGCCCCCTGCTTCTTCTCTTGTCGCTTCCTACTCTGGCTCACCAATTAACACTAGGTTTGCTACATCTCCATTAGGGGTCCGCAAAGCGTTGAAGAGATAAGAAAAAAGAAAAAGAAATATGAGGTCGGTCCAGATTCCAGAGCATGTTTTTGTATTCTAGCTTCAGAACTTCATATATTTCGTCACTAGTTCCTTTTATATTTGTAAATATTTTCTTTTTGAGGGAAAAGAATCAAATTCTCGAAACTTGTCTTCTGCTCGTATGAGCAGCCACCTTTTTTGGGTCCAATGAGGATGCAATTTTGGGGGGAATGGGGTTTTGCATATCACGTCTGGAAAAGAAAAGGGGGGAGGCGTAAATGAAAGTCTTCAGACATGTTTGGTTAAAAATACCATCCTTTTTATCCCGCCTCGTCTGTATGGGGACATCTTGTGCGTGTGCTGAGCTAACGACATAAATTGATCAAACTGCAGTGAAGCTGATTTGAAACGAGATGACATGAATGATGGGGAGAGGCATTAATATTGGGTGCCTGGGGTAGAGGCAGGCGTGTGTGACAGGAACGAAGAGGAAGGAGAAGAAACACCTTGCTTTGAAAACCAGGTGGAATGCGTTACCGGGTTATGTGTCGGAGAAGGCTGTTTAAAGGAATGGGGTGTTATTCGGTGGTTTTAAAGCATACAAATTGGAGAAGGCTGTTTAAAGCATGGTGAGCACTCTGATTGATTACCATTGCCTCAACATTTCCCTCTTACCCAACACAGCTCATATGGCGATTGGCGCCCCAACCATCTGAAAAATTCAAGTGCGGTGAAGAAAACCTGTCCTATCCGGCAGGCGCGCAGAGAGAGAGAGAGGCGTAAAGGAGGACATTCGGGATGAGTCAAGTCAAAGGACGAGGGGATGGAATTGCAGTATGCAGAAACGTTGGTTCGGTGACGGCAGTTCTGAAAATAGGAAATTGACTTTGTCGTGATATGCGAGTGAGAGGGTGGGGAGGGAACGGCGGTACAGAGAGGGAGAGGGATTCATTCGATTTCGGTGAGTCTGATACATGCGTGTTTCCCAGTAAGAGCAAATTGCTGGCCCAAAAAAAGAACTTGCTGAGGTCGGGGATCTTTTTTTTTTTTTTGAATTGAAAAGTGATGTCATTACAGAACCAACAAATTAAAACAGAAACAAGTAAACTCTCGTCATCCTTCCTTACTTAGAAAGGGTGGGGGGTGATCGAAAACACAAAACGGGATGTCCAAACTATGAGTAGCTTTAGCTAGGAGGTTTGCACTAGAGTCTAGAGAGGTCTTCCTTGTAGATGAAGAACGGCAAGACCTGCCAATCTCTATTCAGAAGCAGTCATGCATCATTTATAATGTCATAAAAAGGGTGATCCGCATTGCAACCTCGCGAAACCAAATTTATGGCTTCAATATAGTTTGAGTAAAGCATAACTCGCCTAAATCCTTTTGGCCAGCTAATTTGTAATCCCTGCATAATGGCTAGTGTTTCTGCAATGGCTGAAGGTACTGTTGTGAGCTTACAACTGAAGCCGCAGATCCATCCGCCTTTTTCATCCTTTAAAATTCCTCTGCATCCACTACGTCCATCCTGTAGAACTGACCCATCTACTTCTAGAGTGACATAGTGTCCCTGCAATGGTTGATGTTCTTTACCTCTACTACTATCCTATTTATAGAAAGAGTAGTTGGCGATCATATCCTGGTCACAGTAAGCTTTAA